CAGCAAAAAGTCGTCTGAGTAGCTGTCTTAGTCTCACCTATTTCACCCATCAAGCAACCAAACTTTGTAGGTAAACTGTGTTTCAGTTGTATTATTGTATGGTGCGATAAGGTAGGCATTAGGTTTAAATTATATAAGAGGAGTATCCCGGAGGCACGCGATAATGATGTCCGTAGTGTGTGTTAGTATATATCATTACACATTATCATGTGTGGATAGAAACAAACCTACTTTCCGGTCAATCGTGATCACGCAGACGAGGTCGCGGGCAGGATCATGCCTTTTGGTCTGCAATAAATCGGTTACTTTGAAACGTGGAGATAAGAGAGGTGTCAATACCAGTCTTATACTGTTTGCATATCGGAGATATATGGCATTTGCAATTCGGGCACAAGGTCGCTACCGCTTGGTTTTGTCTTTGCCATTGTGACAATGTATGTACTGATTACAGAGATGTAGAATAAAAAATATATAATTGAGTTTGTTGCAGAATGACATTAAAATTATAAAATAATGTTACAAACATCCGGGGCGGAATACTCTTATTAATAACAATACAACAGAGGTTATTGGTCAGAAATGTAAACTGAAATGTGTGTTGTTTTTAAAGAACATAACTTCATATTATTATGTTATTTTAGATAATAGATATAAAATATACCTATACATTATCAGTATAACCGTACCATAGATGCCACCCACAGTTGTCCGTAGTTATTATGTATATGTTGGTAACATAATACGTTAGTTTTAAATAAGGCAATGCAATAAATACTTCCTGTATTTGTAGGTAAATGGTAACTTGAGGCGAAGCAATACAGTATATTAGTTGGTTTATAATAAGGTATTGAGTTTAAATGCTTAGAATTTCATTAAACATCGCTGAAAGCAAATAATTGACAATGCTGTCCCTTTAAAATATACACACATATATGGTGTATATTTTACCTATAATTTCTCTCACATTAAAAAACCTGACTACCATTGCTAACAATATTTGTATGGGACAATATCTGAGTAATACGTATTGATTGCAAAAATAATAGTAGAAAACCATTAAATTTTCGGAAGATATCAAGTGATGTGGATACAGACAATACCATGAAATTGAGAATGACTTCTTTACTAATCTGTTGATACATGAGACTGGTAAAACCGAAGGGAGAAATTCCCTAATGACAGATAGTAGGACAATTGAATTCGCGCTTGTTTACGTCGCTGTACCTAAAGCAATTTTTGTTTATAATGATAACGACAATCTAATGACGCAGCCGGAAAGTGGGCTTAGTGACATAGTAACGGTAAATGGTAATAGGACAGCCAGGCTTCAGTTGTCATAATTACCAGACCAATTAAAAAATACAAGACGGAACACCACTTACAAAGTGTACAAACAATTATTCTATAAATGTCATACATTCATATATAATAATGTCCTCTATACTTCAATAGGAAGTGAAGTGAAGGAAGTAAAGTGTTGTCATTTTTATGTATATTTTCCTAAGTCAGGTAATGAACGATTATATAATTATTTCAATTTATTTCAAGATAATATAACAGGATGAGGTAATTAAATAGTAGAAATGTAATTACAAGGTTTTATTTGTTTCAACTAAAATGACTTGATTTTTAATGTACATAGTGTTTCATCTAACACTCAGGTTGATCTCATCTATAATTTATAATTATTGTAACAAGAATAATTTATGTGTTTTATATAATATACTAGTTGACCTGCGGAATTTTCTCAAAAGGAATAAATTTTCCCTGTTTTGGAATAATTTCATTCGTACTCCGCTCATATTGGTCGCAGCGTGATGTTATAGCTATGTATAGCCTTCCTCGACAAATGTGTTATTCAACACACAATAAAGAAATGTTAAATTCGAATCATAACTTATTTTATATTATTTAGTGTAGATTCATGTATTGAACCATATATGGTAGGTATATGGTTCACACACACTGGTCTTTATAATTCTTAATAATTTATTTCGCATTACTAAAATATGTCCATATTTTCTAAAACATCACATCGAACAGATTATTTACCCAGTTGCTTTAAAGAGCACCATACCGGCCTCTTGCGGTACATTTCATACTCGCTATGCGATGTCGTAATCAAAGAATGGAAAGTGAAATGAGTTTACGGAGTCAATATAATTACACTCCACAGAAGGAACTATGTTGTACACGCGGATTCACATGTGTTACATATCCTGCTATAAGATCTCGATGAAAATTATAACAGTAAAAAATCCAGGTAGTTATAATTTTCTACTGAAACTTCATTATAACAAAACAACGTAAATCAAATCTTTACAATATTTGTCCAACTTGAAAATTTGTATCACAATAGTTGAAATGTGTCTGTATAATCATTCCAATGTATTAGGAACTTCATTCATTAAAATAAAACTTCGTATATAGTAATTATTACTGTTAAAAAGTACTTTTATTTATCATGACGAAGTACGTATGTAAATAAATTTTCCTGAAGTATACTTTCTACATAGTCGTTTCCGTAGTAAAAAAACTAGCGACATTTGTAAATTATTACCACAGTGTATGTAACACTGTGGTAATAAATTGGTAATTTTGAATTCATTAGTAACTCTAATTTTCTTTATGGGGACATTAAATAATGTAATATTTTTCGTATTGACAACCCTATGGATTGGATAATTTATTTGATCTCATGACCCAACTTAGCCATAATTTAATGAATGTATATTGCATGAGTTACGTTGGTATGACCACTATACTTAATTTGGTGATATTACAATTAATATCACCAAAATTAATTATAGTTATATATATACCTTTATAATCAGTATTATAAAGGAATATTTTCATTAATATATTGTCTGCCATTTTTGTATTCTTAAACTTTAATAAAAATAATGTATTTTAAGCAACTTCTGCAATCAGTTCTCTTTCTTTTTATTATTCCATACTTTCTTACCTTTTGCGGTCTGTTTACCTAAAATATGCTTTTATTTATTTAACTGCTTCTTGGACTGATCCTTCAAAACCTTAAACAAGTATCGCGTTCTCGTACTTAGTAGAAGACGCGAGATTTAACTTTGCCCTTTAGTCCTAATTATTGAACATACAGAATTATTTTGTTCTACCTACATGAATATTGATATACTCACCCATACTTACTGAAACTATGAAGATGTAAATAGGTTTGATGCATTTTTCGCTAATTTTCTTTTTTGTAAATTATGTAAAAGCAATCAATCAATAAATTAAAGCTAAATAAATAATAATATATTTAAAAACTATGCCAGTCTGTTAGTTCCACCTTCACTCATTTATTTTCCAAACATTCGCCCATTCGCTTCGTACATTGGTAGTTTACCGTGCCGCATCAGTCACATACTACAGCCACACAACAGGAAATAACAATGCCAACTCGCATTGTACAGGATACGATAAAATGTGGATTTCATTTAAACTACCATAAAGTGATTTTAATTACATTCATATAGTCGCGTGTCGTGTTGTGGTTAAAACTCAACAATGGCTTCCTTAATTAGCCACGGTCCGGAATCCAGGTATCGTTCTTTTGAGATTCGAAGCAGTCATATTGACGAAGAAACTACAAGACACTATTATCCTGTCAATATTTACACTATAAATAATGATGAAGCCGGGACAATTGAGAAGAAACTAACATTGTTCCAATATCTACGTAAACTTTGTTGCTGCAAAAATAATTCTGACGACCAAAATATATCAACGTCTATTGAAGATTCCAATTCAGCCCTAGTAGGTCCTATTAGAAGAAGTTATACGCTGAATAAAGAGAGAGAAAGGAAAGAAAATATACCTCCTGTTAAACCTCTCGTAGATATACCTATATTAAAGTTTACTAGTGTTACGGATGATGAGTTTTGCAAGTCCTCGACGCAACTTATGCTTATAAGTGAACAAATGGCAAGTGCAATAAATCAAAATGCAGATAAAAGTAGCTTAAAAAGAAAACTCGAAACATCCAAGGACAGTTCCCTGAAATCAGAAAGCAGCAAACATGGTATTCTAAAATTTGGTGAGAAATCTTCGTTCATTCGCGAAATTATGACCTGCCGAGATTCTTTTTTGAAATCCTTGGAATGGTGTGATAACTCATTAACCAGGGGCAAAAAATGTCGCAAAATCAAGAGAGATGAATGGCTAGAGTTATATGATGACGGTACCAAAATATTCTTAGGCACTGTGGTTCAGAGGCACTATAAATCTCTTCAAACGTGCACAAAGCAATATTTATTGTCGCATTTATACAAACACTTGATATTTATTATAAGGTTCACTATCTATTATGAAATGTTAGAACTCTCATATTACAATCCATTCCATTCCATTTTTGTTCTAGTGTTTGACGCATTTGAACTAACAACTGAAATTTATGTATGTGTTGTAATAATTAATGTTCTCGACTTCAGTCTAGTATGTAGTTATAGATATTGTTGATCTCAAAATGTAGTAGGCGTCCTCTGATCGTTCCTTATTATTGTCCTACTAATACTCCTTATAACCGTGTTTCCTCTTGTGACTAATTACATTAAGTGTAACTTTTACAGATAATGATGCAACTATTAATAATATTTACCACGATATTTTCTATAACGAATTATTCTGGCATGTTAATATTATATCCTCTTTCACACAATAAATCTTAATATTATATTAAGCTTTAACATTACGGAACAAACAAATGTCTAGGTAGGTATATTAAAAGACTAATGATTTGCTAGGCAGAAATAACAATCTAGAAATAATGTTAAATGTTGTAAATTTTTAATATTACATTACCGCCGTATTTATTTTGCCGTTAATATTGTAGCCTATATCACGATTATTAGAGATTATGATTAAATGAATTTAACAATACATTTCCTTCCTGACATCGTCAGATAAGTAAAAAATATTGTGAAATATGACCAAATTGAGCAATGTATCTGATGACAAATACGTATTTCTTATTGTCCTAGATGAAACCTTTATATCAGAAACGCTGTCGCCCGGCCATGCAACATTACCGCGCCGGTCTAACTCGCCGCTACCACACGAAAGGGATCTGCTGGACAGAGACCATGGGTACCCGATCAACAGGAGTGGTCTACAGGTAACACATTTTTTATGTTCTTATGTCTCGCTTCAAGTTTATTGTTAACATGCAAATTCTTATTTTCTTAATATCATTTAAGGTTATGTTAAAAAAAAATATGCATCGACTGAAAAAGTTTGATTTAATGTGCCTTCACAATTAATTAAGCTCTTTCAATCATTTGAGAATCACAATATTTAGATTATCTACTTTGTCTTTCGTGTTTTATCTATCGGTATTAGTGAGAGCGCACTATATAGAAATACAGGATATAAGGCCTGCTTCCGTAAGTTAATAAATCATAAATTATTATTAATAATCTATATTCTTAATCGTATTAAGTTAAAGATTTCTGATTCCTGCGACACAGCTTAATGCAGACATTGCTGTTAAAACATTTTATTTCTAGTCATTGATATAAAGTGTACAAATGAATAAATCAAATAAAAGGACATTTAAGCGATATATATTGTCTGCATTTTCTTTTGTCATTGGAAATTTTAATGGATCTAAATATTACATTAAAATAATCTATGTTCAGTATTGTTTGAAAGGCGCATATAATGAAACTGAACACAAATCTTCTCTGACAAGAAGGTGGAATTTTGTCCTTCATTCACAAACCCCTTCGTCCGCGCTGACACTTATTTTTAAATGTATTTATATTACAAATTGTCTTTGTTTTGGCCATTGTAAGTATAATATTATGTTACGATTGTGAAACGGTGAACAATAATGATGTCTCGCAAAATCATCTCATGAGATGCTCGTTAACCAAGATTGTGAGTCTTGTTATAACGAACGAAGATTAAATATATACTTCAAGATTCAACAGTGCGCCTATTTCTAGTAAATTTGTGTATATAACCTTGTAAAAGTGAAATTTTGTATCGATATATAAAACTATAACTTTGGTTACTCGAGCATACAAAATGATGGGTAAAATATTTGTTAGTATTAATATTTTCAATAGAGTATTTATGTTATTATTCAATATCATGTTAAGTATATAATGTAATCTAGGTCTTTTAGAATCCTAGCATGACCTATATTATATATTAATTTAAATAATACACATTTTATTTAAATTTTGTTAATAATAATACGTAAGTTAAATAAAAACTGTCTCTTAAAAAAGTATTATACATTATCCTTGTTCCAAAATAACAAAACATTATTATCATATGTATTCGGATTTTTATTAGCTAATAACGTAAATTGTGAATATTGAGGTATAATGTATTAGAGAACGCTGCTTTACCAAAATTAATTTAAGAACGTGGAGAATTAAAATTAATTTAAAACTTATTTCATTACATTCTCTCATTTCTTGCAATATTTGTGAAAAATCTTATAATTTATGTAAATAAATTATTTATTTTTTCAATATTTATAATTACATTAGCGAGGTTCTAGTGACTAAATTGCGGGTATAACACCGCAATTCATTAGATTAGCGGTGCGGCAGCACGTGTTGCAAACAGTTGTGTCTCCTCTACTGGAATATGTACCTCAATGGTAGTACATGCGAAATGTTGTAATATTGATCCCTTGTAAAGTATAGCAGTGTGGGTAGATACGATAAAACATAATTACTCAATGCCATATGCGGTCCGCTGGGCCGTTTCGCATGCCAACGCTGTATGTGACTACGCACTAGATGTATTTCGTGATTACAGGTACAATCAGATTCATATTATGTGACAATGTTGGTTAATCATATTTTAGACAAAATATATTTTATCTGAATGTTTACATTATTAATTATCTATCTAACTAACTAATCTAAGCAGAGATAGACTTTGTCTCACCCATTTTATCCGCTAAGCAGCTTGATTTGTAAGGTGTGTTTTAGTTGTAGGGTCAGATTTTGTCACAAGACTATAGCATGGGGGTTTTCGAGAAGGGTATATTAAGTTTTCTTAGGGATCGGCAACGCGTACCTGACACTACTGGTACCTTCGGCTTCCATAGGCTATTATATATATTATATTATAGATTAAATAATATAAATCAATAAAATATATTTCCGCTTTGTCTAGTTACGGTAACTTGCTAATAATTGACATAAACTTAAGTTAGCAATATATAAACACTTATAAATTGAAATTAGTACGTGTTTATATTCTTACATTACAGATATGGTACCAGACATATTTCCCACGGTTCTAGGAATAAAATTATATGTAAACAATGAATGAATGAGTGGTATTTAGGTGAAAATAACATAAATTCAAAATATGTTTCGTAATTATGTTGCCAACTAAATGCGTGCTACATGTATGTTCTGAAGCTGATTAGGTAAATCATAAAATGTATCAGATGACACCAGAGAATATTTTACTGCACCATTCTGATAATAACGAATTGTTAACTATGAATTTGTGTGATACTGTCTCAGTTATGTGTTGTTTTATACTAGGATTATACAGAGGTAAAGATTGTGAGTTTGGATGTTGGGGGAGAATTTTAAACAATTGTCACTGATCACTACTACATCACACACTACTTACTATAAAATTTATTATTATTATCTACCTTTTTATTTTCAGGCTCGTTCTGAGTCTATGGCGTCTGTCTACTCTGGAGCTGGTGAGGGAACACGTGCCAGTGTGGCGGTGCGCGGTGAAGTGGAGATCTCTCTTTTGTACAATTATCGGCTTGGCGTGTTCGAAGTCGGCGTCAAACGGTGCCGAGACTTGGCACCTATTGACGTGAAGCGGAACCGATCGGATCCTTATGTCAAGGTCTGTTAAGTTTCTTATTGCATGCTCTTATAATTCCAGATTATTTTTATTGGATGTACGAATAATATTAACAAATAATCGCATTTCAGACTTTAATGGAAACAAAGAAAGGGCAATTGCATTTATAATGTATATAATATATCAACCTATCATACCTTTTTGTATCTCCAAATAGCTAAGTTTGGAAACTCTAAACAGGTTTGAACTGGTAGAAATTATATGGTAATCCATAGGTAATCCTTGAGAATGTAACGGAAAGGGTGGCACCACAGATGTTAATGTTAGTTGTCTAATGGCGAGAGGTACTCTTTTTCATCTAGTGTGTTTAAAATGTGTGTTGGGAATAAAAGTTGCTTTTTCTTTCGTGAAAATGTAAATTTTTAAAAAGTAATAAAATATACTGTATATAGAAAGTATAGTATTGGCAACAAGGGCCAACCGCCTATTTGCCGTCCCAATTACGTAAAAATAAAGCGTAATACATAAATATAATTCAATTAAACATTTTTATAATTTTGCAGGTTTACCTATTACCTGACAAATCAAAAGCCGGCAAAAGGAAGACTAAAGTGAAGAAGAACACGCTCAACCCCGTGTTCGAGGAGACGCTGAGCTTCCTCCAGCCGCTGGCCTCGCTGTCCTCGCGGACACTGTGGCTCAGCGTGTGGCACGCCGACATGTTCGGACGGAATGACTTCCTCGGCGAGGTCACTTTGCCGCTGGCCGACGTCGTGTTCGACGACCCCGCGCCCATGTGGCACAAGTTGCACGAGAGGGTAACTATACTGTTTTTTTATATATCATTATGTAGTAATGTGGATTAGTCCATGCTAGCAATGTATTGTCAGGTTGACCTCCACGCGATTCCTCCTGGAAATTATATTTGCTACGATGCGCTGATTGACCTGACCTCATATTCAACTTATCATCCTCCACTGGTGCACCGCCAACTAACCCATTAGCGCAGGCGTGTATACCATATCATTGTCATCCATAAAAAATAATGAAATGCCACGCACGCGCTAACGATATATGCTGGAGTGACACCTGTGGATAAACATAGGATGAGCATGAAGTCAAGTCTGTTAGTCGCACGTGGCTCACCGTGGTAATTCACCAGGAATAAATTACGATGGTTTCCACCTGGGACCGCGTGGAGGTCTACCTTACACTGCTTGTAATTATATCTATTTGCATCAATTCCGTCAAGTTTACCATTTCTGGCCATGTAAAAAAAAAAATCAAATTGTGGTTATTATAACAAACACTCATTACAATAACTTCAAACATTACTTAGGCTTTGATTTACTATAATATTTCAGAAAGTAATTTCAACCCAGAAGAACTGACCAGAAACTGTGTTAATTCTCTTTTTACTCTTGTTAAAATAACTTACTCGAACTTAAAGTACTTGTTTTTATAAAAAGATTATCAATTTCAATGCTTTCTACCGTAGGACTCATCACAATTTCTTTTAAAATTAATGTAGATGTTTTTTAAAGTTATATCAGATATTACTGTATGTATGTTTTTACTGTATATTAAATCTTATTACCATAATGTATGTTATAATGAAAGCAAATTATTTCATTACTCCATCATGTTGATGATAATATAGCTCCATACACTTTCACTTTTTACTGTCTTATTTCATAACTTTAACATCTTGCGGTCTTTAATATTCATGCACTCTTCCTTGTTTTTAATATTATGATCATTAAATTGAATATATTAAATACATCAACATTTCGGTGCAAGAAACTGACGCTCAAAATTACAATCTTGTTAATATAAACAAATATAATTATTTTAATTTTGTCTGAAAAATATTCATATGTGAGAACAATTAACGAACATTAAAACAGCATCAACCAAGAATTGTAAAATATATGTAAGGAAATTCTTCCTTCAGTGATAGACCGCACTGTAAGTTCGCAAGATTATTAACATTTTCAAAAAAATAGAATTATGTTTATTTATATTTTATGTGCTGATGATGTTATTGTGACTTTTATTTACACGATAACCTCACTATTTAAGATGTTATGATCCTTTTTTATAATGAAAGTATTAGCTTCGACATACATTTGTATTTAATATACCATAGCGCACTTAACACATAACGTAGTGATTACTTGCTCTGTGTCAGTATTTTTCAAACCTGATGCTGAAGGTTTAAACAGTACTGGCAATCTATATAGAATCTATCCAACCATCTGTACTGGTTATAAAAAAGAATTAATTGAAACAGTTTTCTACCAAACTTTTCTAAGTAACGCAAGCCTGGTTGTTACTATCCGACTGATCCCACAGTGTATACAGTATAGCTATAGTGCAATAATTCATTTTTTTTAAATAGACGGAGCAATTCGACGAGCAGCACGGTATCCGCGGTGATCTTATCATCGGACTAAAATTCGAGATGCACGACAGCGGCTCGACGCGCGGCAAAGGAACACTACACGTATTGGTCAAGGAGGCAAAGAACCTCGTCGCTACTAAGCCGAACGGATTGGCTGACGTATTTTGTAAAAGGTTAATATTTAATATTACTTTATATACAAGTATGTTTGTAAGTCGTTAGTTAGAGAAAGTTCGTTCCCAAATAAGTTATATACAATCAATTTATATTAACAACTGTTTTTGTAACAAATCTTGTTAATTATTTCATGCATATCAAGTTATTTAATACAGACAGTCGGTTGATTTTTTTTACACAGAAGATTCTTGAAACAAGTTCAGCGGTGTGGCGTTTGGTAGTGTTGTGAACAATATACAATGTATTAATTTTTTACAACATAATTTAATATTTATTTATTTTAATGTTTCAGCTATCTACTCCCGGAGCGTGGCCGGCTCGCTAAGCAGAAGACGAATGTGACGAGACGCACTCTGAATCCTCGATGGGAGCATACGTTCACATATAGGGGACTGAAGTTGCAGGAGCTCAGCACTCGCGCCTTAGAGCTCAGCCTGTGGGATCGGGATAGACTTGCTTCTAATGAGTTCATGGGCGCAGTCCGACTCTCGCTTGGAACTGGTACTATATTTTTCTAATGTATATATATACTATAAAACGAATTCTTGTATTCTTCTCAAATTCTATGAAAATGATGATGATATTTTGGTGTATCAAAATTAAGTTGAACTATTTTTAAATCCTTTCATATAAAGAAACCTTTATTAAAAACTTTCTTCTGTGCATGTTAAGTAATATATAATAGAATCACAGTAATAATTGTAAATGTGTTGCTTGTTACAGGATCTTACATGGGGGCCAACGTCAACTGGATGGACAGCGTTGGCAAAGAAGTGACACTATGGCAGACTATGATGCAACGTCCTAATTTCTGGGTTGAAGGTTCCCTACCCTTAAGGCCTCAACTCCACAACTAAATGCCCACTATCACTTTTGTGACCAACTTCTTTAGTGTACTAATTATTTGTTTGCACAATTTAAATGTATAAGGAATAATATTTGAATTGTGTGAACCCAAGTATGTACCTTTGTGCATCGAAATTATAGTTAAGTGCAACTGCATGTTTCCGTTTTATATTCCAAGTTTGTTGTAACGGTAAAAGTCCGCCTACAATAATGGAGTTAATTTATCTAAGATTTCGGATCATTATATCAAATTAAAACATTATATTTTACTTTTTGTATCATTACGGTATATCTAACATCACATTTAAATATTGCCAATAAAACATTTATCATTATTGATATGTTATGGAACTAAAGTTATAATACTCTCTCGTTTAATAATATTTTTATTAATATTATCTCTTTTTATAAAGTAAGTGCCAATGATTATATGTATACCCTTTACTCATTTTGTGTTAAGTTTATAAATATTTTAATAAATGCAAAATATTAGAATAATAACAGATATTTTCTATAAAATTTTATATCTATTACCTAGATATTTGATGCATAATATAACATTCCAAAATGTGATGAAAACAATTATATATATAAATCTACAAACCTAAGTTTATGACAATATGTAACTATATGACTGTGGTTAGTAAAGTTTCCGACCTACCAATGATGCAAAATTTCGCTGTTTAAAAGATGGTGCAGAGTTCCTTTACGCAGAGTCCAACTGATCATTGATTTGCGTAGGCCCATTGCAATTCATAAAGAAAAAAATAATAACTGAAAATGGCTGAAATTTTTGGTGAGTAACTATCAAAAGATGCACTACTACGTTTACTAGTTTTTAACAATGAGTGGCGCCATCTTTGGGTTGAGGTCAGAAACTTTTCTAACCACCTTATTAATTTAACGTATAACTGCCGTTACGTTATAAGTTTAGACTTACTTAAGTTAATGCATTTAAAATAGTATGTATGATGTACAAATTAAGTTGACATGAGTTTATAAGAATTTGCTCATGCGTAATGTGATTTAATAATTGTGTAGGTACTTGTTTAGTAAAATTCAGATGTAAGACGCATTTTATAAAACGTCTAAGGGTATCTGTGAATATGGATCATAAGCTTTATACATTTAACGACATGAATACGTCCATAGTTTGTAGTATATTATTATAATTTTATATAAAATACCTACTTATTGTGAATTAAATAAAAAATATTTAAAAATATTCGTTCTTTAATTTCTATGCCTTAAATATAAATAACTATTTGATTATCGATATTTCATTCAGTGAATTTAGACTATAATACGATAATATTATTTGTGGTTAAATAATTAAGAAGCTCACCTTAAGCGCAAAATAGAAACAGTCGTAAATGCACAATAATATTCCGCTCAAACTTTTTGAATTGCATGTACGTAGAACATTAGAAGTTGTTTTTCCACCATTGGAGCGGCAAATGTTGATTTTTATTTTGTCTGTGGAACCAGTACAGATGCGAAACAAAGAAAAAAATCAGTTTTAAATTACTACGATTATAGAGCTAATGAAGGCTGTTCAATTATAAATTAATATGACGTATGACTGACCTAACAATTCCTCTATAAGTTACCTTTTTTTCCTTTCGGCCGGTCAACATTGCAATAGAAGAAGATAATGTAAAAATATTAGTTTTATATCTGTGGTTATACTATGTACCAGGTTCACATAAATTCAGAGAAGTTCCAAGTGATTGAAGTTCAGAAAAACATTTTTTTTACTAATGATTATTTATAAATATTAGGTAATGATTGTGAGTAATTATTAAAAGTAACATAAACTACTTGAAGTTACATTACAATTTTGTCAAGCATATACGGATAGAGAAATATATGTACGGAAATGCGTAAAATGCAGTTTATTAACTAACATTAAACAAATGTATCAGACATAGTCTTGTATATTATTATCACAGATAACATAATATTACATACCCTAACGTACATATTGTATATATTTATAGGTTTATCCTAGTCACTATTGTAGTTAACATGTAGACATCAAAGTCACCCATATGGCTCTATTCCCTCGTAACTAGTTTTATTACTTATTGTTTTATTCCTCACTAAGTTCCTCATTTCTTGAGGTTTCTTTGTAACTTATCCTAGTATCTATCACTAATTTACTTCAGATAAAATTCAATTATTTTTTATTATCACAAACATAATACGAGTAAAATATTAATATATCTGTTGTTTAGAAGTCAAATTCGAGGTCCGGGATTAAAAGGAATAGGTATATCTATATTAATTTCTCGTATTTCTCTCCATCTTGTTTTTTATAAAGGCTATGTTTTTAGAAAGGGTCAACGGAAAGGGAAAGGCGAACATAAACGAACGAACAATATCGAATATAGATGCGTTCACCGATAAAGTAAACTTACGTAAATACCAAATAACTAGTGTTAATATCAAATTAACACGAGCTTGTCGAATTTAGAATCTCCTCCTTTAAAAGTCTAAAAGTGTAAATGAATAATTTTGCAATATCTATTTGCATAACATATGGCCTAATTACAATTTTTGGCCTACATACCTACATGGCCATTATAGGCGATAATTTTATTGAGCTACTAGTGGCCCAGAGACCTACTCCGCTCAGATACTCGTAACTTTTTCACAATCAATTATTAAGACGATTATCCCCAGTCAAAGGATCCTTTTATTTATTGAAAATATCCTTTATTGTATCAAACATGATAGACAAAATGTCAAATACAATATAAATCTAGACATCACAATATAGATACAACCACATATTTACAGATACAGCAAGCCTGCAACACATTCACTATCTATTGTACATTAAATTTGAATTTATGATAGTCTATCATAAATTCATTGACTGTATAGAAACATTTACCCAAAAGCCATGTCAATACAGTAGTTTTAAAAAGTCGCAATGTCATAATTTATTTAAAGGCTTCTGGAAGACTATTATAAATTTGTATAAATAAAAAAGCAATTTTTTTATACATTGGATCTTGGATCTTGAAAATCTATCTACCACCAGCCTGTGAATTGCATCATGCCCACATTTCCTATATAGATATATTTGATACGATTGGGATGAAGCTACCGCGTCGTCTCTGGGAATAAATTCATTATAGCTACTCGACTAGATATCGGCGTATTAATAACCAGGAAGTCCGTTAGAAAAATAAATTGACGCAAAGACTTTGTCTCTAAACAAATTTTCTACTTTATGAGTTTCGTATATGTATATTGCCATAATACATTACATACGCTCTGTTATAAATCTACCTTTTGAATAGTAAAATAGTTGTCGATGCCGTGGTGAAAAAATTTCCTTTACCTATAACTATGTAATATTATGTTATCTGTGCTATAACATAATTCGCTCAGGGGATTGCTAGCAATGAAGATTAGTAACCTCACTGCTAACAATGTACCTCCACGCGGAACCTTCGCTCCATTTGGAAAACATCATGATTAATTCCTGGTGAAATTGTCATGATGGGCGAACAGACCTAACTTTCTGCTAATCATATTATCCTACACGGCTACCCTACCAGCGTATACCGGTAACGCAGGAGTGTGCTGTAGGTATTCCATTAACATCTATTACAAAAAAAGGTTCTCTCTATTTAAATATTAATGGGTATAGACTATAGATTGGTTTTTATGAGCCAATAAAAGTTACCTGAACATCAGTACAAACTCAGTGAGTAGTTAGTATGAAATGTAACATACCTATATACTTATCACATAGCTCTTCACAGCTGTATTTATGCTACTATTTTTAAATTTGAATAATCTAGGTTCTAAAAACCTACAACTCATACAATGTAAGAAACTGAATACCTGAATATTATTATTTTATTTTCAAATACAGTAATCAATAGTGAAACTAAAACATAGAAATTCAGAATAATGCAATATATTACGTAGATAGCTCTACCTAACATATAGGCATTTCAACTGTTCCATAATAAATCTCAATACTGCAATATGACATCTACATTTTACCCCATGGCGTGTCCAATTTATCTATCGTATTATTATAAAATATGGTAATTGTAGGTATGTCTTATTTGTGATGGCTTCATTATTTTTTCACCATGGGGATCGACATGGTGTGGCTACCCCGCCCACATTTCGCTGCTATAATAGACACATCAAAATTGTCGATTTACACCATAATGATATGACGATATTATTCGACTTAAGTATCTATGTAGGGATGTAGTTCGTCATATCGATAAAAATAAAATTCAAGCAATATATTTCTATGAAAATTATCTTATATTAAATCTATGTCGAAAATTGAATTTCAACGAACGTTTGATTAAGTAGGTATAAGTTTAATTAAACTTTGTGTAAAATGCTTGTGTGTCGGTAAGAATAGAATATCTTCGCCTGTTACAAACAAACAAAATACAAATTACATTTGTATCTTTTGCGAGATGGTGGAATGGAATACTTACTAATAGTCAATATATATGTATAATTGTAGTCAAGAATAGATGCAAGTACGGATATTATTTTAGATACCAACCTTGTTTGTTACTTGTTTACATAAAGGTATAATCATTATTTTAGTATAAAACAAAGTCGCTGTCGTTGTCTGTTCCTATGTAAGCTTAAATCTTTAAAACTACGCAATGTGTTTTTTATAGATTGAGTGACTCTATAGGAACGTTTATATGTACAATACATGTGGCGAGTAGCTAGTACCTAATAAGAAAAGCAGAACATATTGTCCTGTGATTCTAAACTGTAACGAATCTTTTATATAATATAATCGTTTAAATTAACCTCAACCTCATCGATTGCACTTTCTAGTTCTCGTAAACATTTTTTAAACCGACAACAAAGGGGGTTATTCCTACTACTACTACTGTATTATTCTTCAATTGAAACAGTTTTCTTTGATCCGTTATTACATACATATAATTTAATTAGAATTTAAGACGGTTTCTTTTACAAAATCATAATTTTGAATAGATCTATTCTATGGTCTTTGACATCTTTAATTCAATTGACAATTTTGTAAGTGTTGATTTTTTTTATTTTTGAGAATACGATACAAATTATACTTAAATTACCTACAAAAACGTTTTACCGAATTTCTTGTACGATAATAGCATGAATTTAAAATATGAATGAATTTTTCCTTTGCCGCCTATGAATTCTACGCGCTCTAAATATTTGATTTCAGACACTTTTCATTTCAACAAAGGGTAGCGGGGTGGCTATATAAACGTTACAAATCCTACTGTTACATTATTTTTCGTAAAAAATTCCATCAATCACAATGATCCGAGACTTTCTTAATAGATTCGAAGATCCTAAAATGCCACTTCTGGCGCCTAACTACTGGTTATTAAGAAAAAGTGGTTTAATTTTATCAGAGAGACCTCTTTATAAATATTTATATCTGGCGTCACATTTATTTGGTTTATATTTTATTATCAGCGAATATGTAGATCTGATCTCAAGTTTGTCAGAAATTGATCTTGTGATTTCAAATCTGATGATTACTATGATGAGTCAAATGTGCTTCTTAAAGGCACACTCCTGCGTATACTGGCAAAAAGAGTGGAAAGAAATTATTCGTTATGTAACAGAAGCTGATAAATTTGAAAGAGATAATAGCGATGATACAAAAAGTAAAATAATTGATAAGTATACAACTTACAGTCGCAAAATAACTTATGGCTATTGGTGTATCGTGTTTTCTACTGTCGTTTCCGTTTGTGCTGCTCCATTAGTACATCTTATACCTACTCCATCAAAAAAACGGATTCCTCGTAATGAAACGGAGTTGTTTACACCTATATTTGGCTCGTGGATGCCGTTTGACCAATACCGACCCCCGGGAAGTTGGATAACAGCAATATGGCACATTTCGATATGTGCTTACGGAGGCACCGGTATGGCAGCTTACGACAGCACTACCATTGTTATAATGGGTTTTTTTGAATGCAAACTGGAATTGTTAAGACAAAGATGTAAAGAAATGTTAGGCAGTAACGACAAAGGAGTTTCGGATGAAGATGCTGACATTGTGATCCGTCAACTTCATGATATCCACATGAAAGTATTAAAGTAAGTGTAAATTAATATACAAAATATCATCTATTAACACCTTCCTCTATACACATATAGTTTACATTATATTTTACTTATAATCGAGTATTTATTTATATAATTATAATTATTATTTCAGATTAATTTAATAAATACACTAACACGTGATCAGATAAAGACTAAGTATAAAGAAAACTATGTTGATGCATTGATCATACAGTCTCTTCTTCTGTATATATTGTCATGCTAGATGTTTTTGGGTTAGAACTGAATAGCTTCTGTCCTTCACTTATAATTAAAACTAAACTCTTACTTCACTTATAATTCGCTTCACGCATTTTCGCATGTTCCGGTGACTCTTGAGTCCTTTATTAGGCCACATGGTCTATCTGATTATTCTAAATTAGCCTGGGTCTCCCCCGGTACCTGTATTAATCCACTTTCGCATGCATACTTCTATATTTTTATTTACTATGCAATGAATATTATGCGCAAAATTTATATTGACAGAGCAAGAATCAATGCGTTATTAGTTCATATCATCTTCAGCATCTCGTAAAAGATACATACAGCCGTCGGCAATAGAAACAGAACTCGTAAATTTCCTTGACTGATATTTCTGTTATGGGGAGTACCAAGTGCCCGTGTAGTTTTAATAAATTATTTAAACATACATTTGTAAACATAAAACGAAATAATGTACGTTATACCAGAAATATATATTAAAAAAGCATTATTATTCTGTAAGCCAGTATAGGATAGGGTATCAGAGTGTCTAATCTACTTTATAATATCCAAAACAACAGGAAAATCTTTTCCATAGAAATTTACTTTAGTACCTAGTTATTTACTATATTTTACCGGCGCTAGATATGATTGAAAATTCCCGTCGGAATTTCAGAAAATATTGGAAGAAAGAATTTTACTTTAGTTTTTTACTATTTCACATTTTGGACTTTACTTAGTAAATACCTAATTGATCAGAACCTGAAGATCGTTGATTCCTAGTTACACTAATTTTGTAATTTTATTGAGAGTAGTCTAACTTTGTCTTATTGGACATTCCGGTTGCTAAATACCTTCTCATGACAACTTCTAGAAGTAAAATAAAGAATAAATATTTCTATTTATATTGATTGAACTAAAATCTAAAATAAATTGTCGTGAACAACCTAATGGAAGAAACTGGAATATGTAAATGCAAACATAGTATCATATCAAAAACAAACTAATCAAACCTTGCATTGTATAGGTAGACACATTCATATATACGTACATAATAAAAAAAGTTCTTAGGAAAGGCTCAATCCAGATAGAGAATAATGAATACAATTATTTATAATTTGGGATCATCGAACCTAAAAATATCAGTGAACTGCTTTGTAGTTTAACTGCGATATCAACAAGCCCATATACATAAATCACACTACAACCATGCATTGTAATGTGGAGATTGTGATACTTCTCATGAGTACCAATTCCTTATGACTACCATTAAGTTAAGATGTTAAGCCTTCATAATCACAAATTTTACACAGTGGCTAAAGCTAAAGTAGGCTCTATGCAACATTATAATTCCGGGTCTATTTTTCAGTCAAGACTTTTACGTTTGATAGTTTAAAGCTTAGATACGGGCTGTAGTCACGTGCCTAGGTTGCATAGGCTTTAGTCCACCTCTGATTTTGCAAGCTGCATATTTGCAAGCTTGTTCTAATTTCATGACTCATGAGACTCCAACAATCTTGGCTTCTTAGGAACAATCTGGAACTCGAGCAAATCGCTTGGTATGAGAAATGTGTGAGACAATCATGTCCATACACTTGTACAAATTCTTCCTTTAGTAAGGCAATAAGGGCACTATATAAGTGAGAGTATGTTACATTAATCGACTTCTGTTATTACGGCGAAGGTGGAGTCACCCACATTAACCTTATTACATTGTAAGCTATACATCGTGGACGAATTTAAAAATTAATTTAATTTTTAACAGCTATATGGAAAATTGTTAGTGACACCTCTAGACACGAACGGCACTACGGAGCATCAGGTTGCGGTAGCCCTTATATTTTGCCATTCCTGAAAAATAAAATATTATGAATGTATAATGTAAAACTATGTAAATACACTGCCATAACTTACTTTTTAAGCCACTCTAATTTAATGGATCCTGCCTGACTGTATATTCAGGGTTCTTAGAATCAGTAGTTTTATATCTGGTAGTAGATTACTATATAACATACTAGCTGTCTCCGCGGTTCCAACCGTGTTAAATTTCAATAAAAAATATAGACAGTCTAATATGTTAAACTGGTGCATAAGCTATATTACTGTAAAGTTTCATCAAAATACGTTCAGTATTTTTTGCGTGAGTAACAAACATCCACACTTACTAACTTTAGCACTTACAATATTAACAATAAGATAGCATAAGAATACATCATTTTTGTAATAAAAAAATACATATTATATCTTTAGAGATTTATTATAGTTTTACATAATACTCAAAAGTGGTACAAGAGCCGCGAAGAAACAGTACCTACATACAAAGACAGTAGATAATTAAAGCAACATTGCACAATATACAAATTTTTTTGGAGTATATGTAAATGTTTCCCATTTTTTTTAGAAAGGTGTATTTAGTGGTAAATCTAGACACGCGGTAGCGTGTCAAGCCGAGTTTCAAGTAAACTGGCAAGCAGCACCGTGTGTATATTTACACGAACCATTTGGAGCCACTTTTGATTTATTTATTATGAAATGTCACACAGCCAAATAGAACGCTACAATACTTTATCTATACGCAACTTATATCTTGGTACTCAGGGTTTACCCTGAGTACCAAGATACTGCTAATATTTCTAACACAATCTACCACTGGATCCCTGAAAAAACATATATTCTTTATTGCACTATGAAATACAGTAGTAAACTTAATTATAGACAAAATGAGCAACGGTGGACTTATCTCTAAAATAGATCTACTAGTCAAACTAACAAAAAGTGATACAGCTAGTAGTAATTATACAATTAATAATTAACTTATAATTATCACAATCTAATTAATAACAATTCCTTTATATGTATAATAATGTTTTGGAATATATAATAATGTGACTTTAGAATTACCTACAGGAATGACAGGAATTATACATGAGAAAGCTAATTTTATACGAGGACAATTATATTCGCTGAGCGTCTTATATATTTGATAAAAACTATTTTATTATTTTTAATACTTATAAATATAAATAATAATTACATATTAATCACATTATACTAGTAACATGTTCCTATCAAACATTGTTATATTTTATAAATATATAGTAATTTTATTTTTTTCATTTATATGCATATTGAGGACATTATAAAACTTATAATTATGTTTTTGATTATTTGGTTCTGTGATATTAATATAAATAAAATATATAATGTTTATATAGCTTGACATAGATAATAAACAAAAAACAAACAGAACAAAACGCATATAAAAAGTTTTATCGATATTTTCTATCCTCAACTATCCGCGCGAGTCACTATACACCATGATCCGTAACGGTCTAACACCAAAACTAAAATAATAATTACACATCCAACGACTCAAAATTTGTTTTAATAATCTATATTCGAGTATGCTTTGTTTCAGGTATATGAGATTGTTCAACTCGGTGTTTTCACCATTAATGTTTTTGTACATGTTCAATAGTACACTGATGATTTGTACTTGTGCGTATCAGCTGACAGTAAGTCAATAAAATACCTAATCATAATGCAGATAGAGATATATTTAAGTGTGTGAGAAATGATTACATGCAAAAGAAGAAGAGCGTAGTGACCTAACTATCCAGATTCAGACCGAAAAGATCTTAATTGATCTCAAATGTCAATTTATAGTTACAACTGATTCTTCGATGATGACATGATGACACGATGATTTGTACAGTAGAATCAGTAGATGTAGGTATATAGTGTAGTAATAAACACGCAACTCTAACTTCAGCTGAATTTAAGGCTCTTTTAAATATTTAGATCAAAATTCGATACAATGGTTCATTAATTTTCAAAAGATATGTACATAACCATATTTAATATGCTCATAGATAGAAAGTTACATACACCATGATGTGATTACCAATCACACAGATAGGTAGACATGAATATGATATGAGTATTCAGTTAGTTTGTTCAATTCTACGATCTTATTTAAATCGCGCTAATTTACTTACAGGTTATAACAAACGCAGCACAACGGCTATTGTTGGGGGAGTACTTAGGTTTCGGTATAGCACAACTTTTTTTTATCTGCTGGCACAGTAATAAAGTACTCATTAAAGTAAGTTATGATATATTTTGTACTTACAAAATCGTTTGCCCTATCTATATAACAACGCACAGCCAAAACGAAATCCAAATTTCTAGGCTATGAAGCCTATATTGGATACGAGTATATTAAGATTTTTTCCGTTATTGTGCAGAAATTTTGAGAAAATTTCAGTTTCTATGTTTTTTATGTAATTGAAATGACAAACAAGTTGACAGTCCATCGGATGGTAAGTGGTAACCGTCGCCAATTTAAATAAACAGTACCAGGGACATCACATATCGTTAACATATTGATGCCTATAATACCAACCACGCGTTGCCATCCCTGAGCACTATGATCATATGTTTGGTAATTTCACTGCCTTATGTCTCCTTTCAACCGATACAAATCAAGCGAGCTGCTTGGCGGCTGAAATAGGCGAGACTCACGCAGTTTAATAATAATAATAATAATAATCTCAGGACAATTCACACAGCGCCATCTAGACCCAAGTTAAGCTAGCTAAAGCTTGTGTTATGGGTACTAGATAACTGATACAAGTACATAGATATTTTTTTTCGTAAATACATACATATTATACATAGAAAACACCCAGACCGATACAAACAATCATACTCATGAATACAAATGTTTGTGCCGTGCGAGTAGAAACTTAGACCGCTAGTATTGACTTTTAACAAATTCGACATCAGTAGAAACTTAGTAGTATTGTTATTTAAAACCGACGGCCTTTCAGCTAACGTACATATGTATTAAATATTTGAAAGTATTTATTATAATATTTATTTTTTTATAAGCTGTCATTTTTTTAAATAAATTATTTTGCATATGAACAATAATTAAATACCTTAGTTCTTATAGTTTGTCATTTCAATATTCAACATGAATTTTGTAGATGGACAGTCTCTCATACGGGACTTTTGAGAGTAGCTGGTATACAAGCACCCCTCTACAGAGACAATATATTTTGTTTCTGTGCGGGCAGCTACGAATCAAACATGTGTTCACAGCTGGACCATTCACTAACCTCACATTATCCACTTTTATTACGGTGAGTTACCACTATCTACTTATTTTATTTTTCAACTAACCATACACAGTATTTCAAGATTCTCAATTTGACTGTATTTTCATTTCTGTGTTTACGAATTTCACTGCCTTACCTGACCATGCCGCCGACAGTCAGTCTTTATAATGTTTTGTTTTTATTATATATTAGGCTATCAATTGAGCATGGTAATTCCTTAGATATTTACCTAAATGGCAAAATACAATCTACTAACTAGTACTAGATACATGCCTAAGTAGGTACTTGTTTAAAAAACTTAAATTTTCATTTCTTTTACAGATTTTGAAAGGAGCATACAGTTATTACATGTTGCTAAGAAAATAATTTTCCATCAGTTCCCTCGAGTGACACAGCACGGAACCTGTACTCATAACAATAGTCAACCTAAGAAACACCTACAAAGAAAATACCTAATATAATAAAATATCTTATACAATCTCATTTCTTTCTTCTTTTGTTATACTAAGTTAGTCGTAAAGGGTATCCCCACTAAAAGCCAAAAAACCTATAATCATTAAAAAAAAGAGAAAATACATTTTGTAAGTTTCATGCAAAATTTATCACGTGATAAACTTAGCGGATTTTGTAGGACTGGTGAGGAGAATTAATACACAGGTTAGGAAACAGTACCGATTTCTCAGAATATAAATTAGAAAAATCCATCAGTACTGCATACCCAAAACTTCTAGCACAGTGTATGTATGAATTGTCTAGGTAGAGTTAGTATTATAGTACCTACGAGTGGATATAGTCACTAGCCTAAACTGGAACATGAGTCCGAAATTGGGTCGCACGTAATTGCGATACATTTCTACGTGTTTATTTACGGAATCGGAAGTAAGTCCACGATTTATGTAGATAATAAACTATTTTCTATTCTGTCATTTTTTTATTTATAAAATTCTGATATATCCTTATTACCTACTGATCATTCAGTGCTTATTATCCTAGTAGCAAGAGTAGCAAATTGTACTAGTTCCCCATAGAAAACAAAAGGGTGCGCGCAGTAAAGAGCTTGATAAGATATTTTAGTCTTTGGATCCTGCGCACTAGAATAATACAACAAAAAAATATATCAATTTTAATTTATCAAAGTCTAAACGGAATGTACAACTCTTGTCCTTTGCGAAAGTTATTTTTTTAACCCTTATTTAATAACTGATAAAATAAAACAATTATTTATTTAAGTTTTATTATATATACCTATAATTTATTTAGATAGAATGGTATTATGTCCTCTAGAAATGCCTCACTAGGTATTTATTTATTAGTAGTTTCTGAAAAATAACGTGATAATAGACGATTAATATAAGACTCAAGAGAGAATCCAATACGGGAAACCCAACGGACACTTAGTTATAATTTATTTTTAATATCTATAGATCTAGTGTACCTAATACGAACTTTATTTTATTAGACAAAAAATATTATTTGGTTGAATATTTTAATTATTTCGTGTGCCGTGCACAGAAAATAATAGATCACTGTAAGAAATATGCATGGCATTGGCAAATACGCGTAAATACAGAAACATGTAGCTTTCATTTAGTGATCTTTTTAATTTTTTTCATATAGGTAGTATCACAAATGAATGCTGCTTGTTTTTGAATTTTGTACTATTTCGTTGTGTTTTGCTGCAATCAGTTACAGAAAACAATGATTACTAGAAATAATGTTTTTTTAAATAAACAACTTATTACAAAGGTGAATACTTTATGGTCTATTAGTTCATTCTTTTTCTCATACAGTGTTAGTCTTATTGTGCATATTGCTAGGTTTTTCCATACCTATATTGTAATAATTAAAAAATAATATTCAAATCTTTAAAACTGTTCTTAAATCTACTTCTGATAATGGACCGGTAGGTGGCAACACGGGTCTTGACGCTTTTTTAATTTGTTTTGATACCGGTCATTGTCTGTGGTTTGAGGGTTGCGTTCTTCGTTGTGGTGGATTTCGAGGAGTGATCCGGATTTGGCCGATTCGTTTGATTACGGGTACGTTGTGTCGGGGTTTTTTTCTATATGGCGAGTTCTTTTGTCCTAGGGATTCCTTAGGGTCTGCAATGATGGGTGTTGTGTCCCGCGCTCTCTACAGAAATTATTAAGATACTTAAGAACATTTTTTGCACTAACTATTAAGAAACTCAAGAACCTTTTTAGCACTACAAAAAATTTATACATATACAATAAACTGAGAATATGAAAAACATCCACAACAGGCACTATGGCTGTACAGACGCAGTTCCCTTTGCCTTTCCATTAAAGGATAAACAAAACCAAAAAATATCTGTGGGTTGTTGTTTGCTTGTTGTCGATTTTAGTTTAAAATTATTTTAAGATTTTTAATTTATTCTCCGGCATTTAAAAAAATATAAGATTATAAAATTGATACTATTATAAGTATTATTGAATTCAATATTAATTTATATAATGGCAAATACGAACACATATTCAGCGGTTGTTCTATTATGTTTCGGCTTATTGAAAACAGGTAAGAAATAGGGTGTGTTTGGTGCATTTAATTTCAAACTGTAACACTGTTTTATTTTCGTTATATTTTTCTTTAGTTAATTGTATAAGCTGCTATCAGTGTTCCGGAACTGACTCTACCAACCCCTTTGAGTGCAATGAATTCCTCGATAATGATATAGATATGATGGCTATAAGTTGTAATAATATTCATGATGCTAATTATTGTATAAAACATGTAGGACGTAATGAAGGTGAGATAATTTTTGGAATTGCTTGAAATGCGAGCATACTAACTTTGGGTTATAGCATTTCACTACTAAACATGTGGTGCATGTGATCTAATATTTTACATTAATTCTTTACAATTCTAAGGTCCGTTACAAATTCTGTCAGGATAATGAAATTTTTAAGTTGTATTTCCCTACCAGTTTCACATTCAGTCTTTCAAACCTATTGTAGTGTATATTCTTAGTTTATTTTTCATTATATTACTTATTTCATAAATATCTTACTAATTGTCGTTTTATTTCAATAATGAATAATATGAAAAAAATATATGCATCAATATTTTCATGTTAATTATTTATATTCTATTATTCTTTGTTTATGACTTATCTCTAAGTTCTTTCTTGTTGTTCGGTTTATCTTGTAACACTTCACCGCATTGGGTTTTATTGTACTGCCATACTCTAGAATATTAAAGATTTGATTGAATACAATTTTATAATTTTTATTTATGTATTGCAGTATCACACAAATATATTTTAAATGTCAATAGTTTTCTGGTTCTGGGTACTCTTTTTGAATTGCCTCTTCTAATTATCAATAATTAAATGTTACAGCTGTGTACTTATATTGTACTGCTTAAAAAAACAATAAGTCTAGTTTAAAAATGTTATGATATACAAACTAGTTACCAATGTAGAAATATAATGGTTTTTTAGTATTCTTCTGATTGATATCCTCAGATAATATGTTTTGGGATATGGGACCTAACAAATAGTGCATTATAATTATAATGGTCAATATTAAATATTGACCATTACATTTTTTTGAACTTCTAGTATTACAATTTTTTTCAAAACAATGATGAACTCATCTTATAAAAAATAGTAATATATTCATATAGTAATAGTAGCTACTCGCCCTGGCTTCACCTGAGTGTACATATATTATACATATAAACGTTACTCTTGAATCACTCTGTTAAAAAAACACTTCATAATCTGTTGCATAGTTTTAAAGATTTGAGCATACATAGGGATGGACAGACAGCAACAGTGACTTTGTTTTATACTATGTAATGATTATAAAGATTTATTCTGTGCCCATTAACTAACAAAATATTATCTATAATAATAATGTAGGTATAGCAATAGAATGCTACCAATGCAACACATCAACAACAATGGAATGTGGTGATGGACTAATGAACTTGGATGGTGGGGTGTTGAAGCCAATTTCATGCGAACATGTGTACAATGCTCAGTATTGCATAAAATTAACAGGTCTTTACTAATATAATATGGGTTTCATATTGAATCTTAGAAAATTTTAATGCCAGGAATATTACAGTACATATTTTTAAAAAGAATTATACCTCTGTATTCTATCTATTTACACACCACCTTATGTCACCTTATATTCTACTACTATTATGGTTTAATCCCATGAGTGATTCAAACATTTGTATTTGTGATTATGATTGTTTGTATTGTGTGGGTCTTTTATATCATGGCATATTTTGTATGTATTTACAAAAAAATGCATATATTTCTATAAGTTGTTTAGTACCCATAGTACTGTACTACTTTGCTTTGTTTGGGACTAGATGGCATTGTGTAAATTGTTCTGGGTTATTATTAGTATTAAAAACAAATGTAAATAATTTTGAAAATTTTGTCCTGTAATATTTCTGGTGAATGTTGTTATGGTCACTACTACTAATACTGCACTTGGTTTCAAGTTTTACAGCACAAGTAATGTAATTAAGCACTAATAAATCACTTGGATGGATGGTTAGCCAATTTGGTATGTATGCATTAATTATTGTATAATCTTAAATAAAAATGTAAATCAATTTTTAATTTGTACCTTGCTTTGACTTTGTTTGTGCCAAATGAAGAATTGTTTGAATTGTCATTTTAGTATATATAGTTACTCACAAGTTTGTGTATACCGAATGAGTGGTAGAATCAAAATATGACTATTCAAAAGTGCTTGTAATGAGTTTATTTGAATAAAGATTATTTCTATTTCTATTTCTGTATCCACAAAGCTACACCCAATATTTCGCACCTTTTAAAATATATTTTAAAATGAAGAATAGAAGGAATGTCTGTTCTCATGATAAAATTTATCTTTACCTCGAGTTTCTTTAGATCCATTGGACTGTTAAATTATGAAAACAGACAGAAACACGTTTATAGAATAAGTATTAATTTTATATATTCTACCAAGGCAAGTATATTTTTATTTACAGCCTTTATACTAATAGTAAATTTAATGTTTTTGTTTATTGCTATATTACTGACTAGGTTCATCAGCTTGTCCTGACGAACGAGGCAGTAATATAGCAATATGGAGGCCTGTCTTAGAACACAGTGATAAACCACAAGTATATATATATATATATTTTGAATTCTGCTAATTAGCAATCTATTTTTATACAATAGTGCAATTTTATTCATAAGGCTGGTCCAACGAGTTTGCTCTCAAGCGCTGTCTGCAAATCTATCTGCAAGGCCCTGGATGTCACATCTTTTAAGACAAAAGAATCTTAGACTCCCTAATCTCTGCAGTTGTGCGGCCAGTTCATTTCTGTGTTCATTTAATCTAGAAGTATATTAATAATAATTATTCATGTAATTTTAGGTGGTATCAGCACCAAAAGATTCTGTTCATCACTCGACCTTGGTAACTATTGTAATTACGTCAGAGAACCTGGTGACAAGCTGGAATATAGAACTTGCATCTACACATGCAACAGTGATGGATGCAATATGGCATCTGCTATGGGAGTATCAACAATATTATTGATGCTTTGTTTGTACTTGACCAAGTATGTTACTCTCTGAAGACTAAATGTTTGAAAGATATAAGATTAATGTAAATTCCACGTGTAATATTTATATTATACAGTTTTTATACAATGTACTGCATAGGTAATTAGAGTTATAAAGGGGATATTAAATATGACTAAAACTTAATATGTAATAATACATGATAATATGTACAACTGAATAGTTTTCCAAAGTTACATTTTGGAAATCTTTTTTAAACCGTCCATAAATCTATCATGTTGTGTGTTCAAAAGTTGTACATTAATATGCCAATGTAAATTAAGTTTCAATAAGAATGTGTTTATACATGTGATTATGTATGTGTTGATTGAACTGTGTGCTGTGTAATTGTGAACTAAGATAATATTTAATATTAAAGTATATTAATAGATTACATTGTTTTTTTATCAGTAATAATACAATGTGATTTAATAGTACTGGTATGACATGATTCGCTGTGAATAAATATTCAGAACTGAATATTATAAGATAACAAATAGGTAATAACGTAGCATATTTATAGCATACTAGGTGTTAGCGCTATTTTTCTTCTTGGTTTCAGATTATTTTTTTATATAAACAATGCTCCTTGTGATATTATTTATTTTCATGTCAAATTTCATTATAATATGTCGAGTCCTTTTCTCATGAAAAGACTACAAACACAAAGACTGGTTTTAATAATATTAGTGTGGGGCTGTAGAGTAATCATTAATAGTATACACGTAACTTCTTTTGGAATGAGGTTATTATAAAACAGACAATGTATTGTTCAAACATATATTTGAAAATTTGTGCTACACAAGCATGATATAAAAATACATAATAAATATTAACACCGACTTAGCCACAAAATTATCAATCCTGCTAAATTCACAATAATACTTTCATTTCACTTACCATACTAAACATTATGCATTTTATACTGAATATGGAATGTATATAACAGTATAACAGTTTATATTCTAAATTATGCACTGCTTTAAAAATGGCAAGATATTAAAAAAAATATGAACATCTGCAAAATGAAGTATTTTCATCACATTAGTTCTGAACCCATGATAATAATAGCAAACTGGTATTGAAATATTAGGAGAATAAAGGTCTAGCACCCATTTATTAATTTCTACAATGTGAGTCTTCAAACCTTAAATTTTATTATGTACACAAAAGTACAGGTAACTTTTTTGTACATTTCTTACAAATTTCAGTAGAACCCGGTGTTTACTTACACAAGAAGAGTAAATGCTTGAACTTATAAAAAACTAATTCTAATATAGTAGGTCAAATTTGTATATAAACACAAAACAAACACAATAAAATAACAGGTAACACATTTTACACAATAATGTAAATCAGACTATTAAACAATCACTAACAAGATGTAAAGTAAATTATAAAATTGGAATAGAATTAATCATAATCATGTGCATATAAAAAAGTGCTTGCCAGCAAATTGGAAATTACAAAACAAATTTATCTCGTGTCGTTTACAGTAGCTAAATCTAATAAACCAAACGAAATTAAACGAATTATTGTTGTTAAATATTTTGGAAAATATGATGGCACTAAGCTCTTTCTGTAACATTATATAAAAAAAAGTTAAAACCGAAACCAAAACGGCAATACTATTACGTATTTTTTTCAGCATATTCAAATTGATGATCATGATTATTTGGTTGAATTGAGGTGTATTGAGTGCAACAACAATATATCATTTCAATGTACCACCCAGCTTGTTTCCAATTACTAGGTTTAATTATTTGCATTTCGTTTTCTGTTAAAAAAAATTTTGGATGACATTTTAGTGTGACACATTTATATAAAACTTAAAAAAAAGATTTGCCTGCTTTACTATTTGTATATATAGTTACTGTAGACACGATTAGAACCCTGTTTTTCATTGCACATAATTGAAATTTATTATTTAAACTTAAATCATTATTATACAAAAAACATTAAATTGAAAATTATTTGTGACCCATAAAATGAATGACACATGTCATGGATTTATCACAAGTTTTGCTGTATAGCAATAACTGAAGGCCTTTATATTACATAATAGGCCAAATCTTGAGACAAACTTAATACTAAAATACTATTTCCATATAAATAATAAAAAAATACAAAAAGTATGTATAATGCGTACCAATCTTTTAAATCATAAAGCCTGAATGTAAAAATTTGGAATGACTACTCCTTTTAACCATAAACATATAATTCATTATAGAGGTACGAGGCACTCTACTCGTAAATTGCATTTTATATTAAAATTCTATAATGGTCATGACTTTAAGCATTGATTAACTTGTGTATTATAAATGTGAACATTAAATCAATTATTATTAATTGACAAGAACACTATTTAGGAATTACTTGTATAGAGACCATCACACTTAGTAAATTACAGATTGTAGGCTCACAAATTCACGAAACACAGCGTAAGCCTTAAAATATAAAAATATTCTTTCACAGTGAGCAAGTGTTATAAATGCATAAAGAATGTTGTACAACAAGGTTCTCTCATGTATTATCAATAATTTAAAGAAAATCTGATTCAGTAAAGAATAGATTTTTTAGCATATCCACATTGGATTTCGGCACAAAAATTACAATAATTATAATATTGAAGTATGCTCAAAAATTGCAGCTTATAATTATGAGATTATGCATTAGGTTTTTTCATTTGCATTCATTGATTTTACAGTGCTCCTACGAGAATCTACTGCATCACCAATGAACCGTCTTTTTTTTTTTAATTTAATGGTAATCTATTGAGATCAGGGTACTTGTTTAGATAATGGATAGTAATTAATAAAGCTACTTTGTGTGTCTTATAGTATCTGTATATATTTAATTGGCGGGTACTGTATTTGTGTATTGCGTTGTTGAAAACAATTTGTGAACTTACATATTTATGCTTCAAAACGTCACAACAAGCATTATAGTTTCATTTTTGGAGGGGGTTACAATTTACTCATTACTCTCGAATCATTTCGTATAACCCACTGTCGAAACTACTGTGCGTTAATGTTATGCTCTCGGAAAGAGACCTATAAAACTGCGGTGTATACGAAATATACGATGTATTTCGCAAATGAAATTAATTTAAGCTGGTTTTAACCTCCAAGGAATTAAAAATTCCATTCGTTGAGATTTAAAGCAAATACATTCAGTTTATGATTCCTCGCGTTGTAGTCGGGCTTGTAATGCAGCGACATGTTGTTCCAGCTCTCGTACTCGTTGTTGACTATTTTGCAATTGCCGCTTAACGATTCTTAGTTCTTCGCCTTGCCGATTGAATGCTAGCCGCAACTATAGAGAAAGATAATTGTGTTATTTTTATTAATGGGGCTTGTGTAGAGCCATCCGAAAGGTTTTATCCTTACAGACATGCTCACATCATCTGCTTCTTTATCCCATTTATTTAGGGTCGGCGTAATATGTTTTACCAACATTTTACTACATATTAACTATTATTCGTAGATAAATAAACATTGTACAAACCATGATAATGTACAAAATTGGAAATATAATATCCCAGTATTTTGATACTTTATAGCCAATTCATTCTAGATAAGACTATCATTATATGGCTAAGTAACTTTTAAGTAAGTAAAAGTAACTGTTAAAACTCCGCCCCTTATATCGTATCAAAAATATTGCTTTAAAGGTCTGGACACAGCTATATAAATTTTAGCACCTCTCTCCTTCTTAACCCTATTTTCTTCAATAGTCTTCGTATTAAGTCACTCACCTCATGTTCAGTGCTGAAGACATCTCCCTGGTTGATTTGTTTGTAGAGCGGTACGGGCTCTGCATCGCCGGTTTGTTTCCCAAACATGCGCTGCAGTTGATGAAACTTCGTGTTTTGGTTTGCGTTCGTCTTCTGCGACTTCTCAGTTAAGGGCTGCAATATAGAAACCATTAATTTACGAGAGCTATGGTAGTAAGTTACGTAATGTCTATATTTACATATGTTTTTCTTAAATTTTCATGATTTCTCATCAACCTACTTTAAAAAGTAGTTTATAATATAATATGTGATATACTTTTTATATGATATTTATTATACAAAGTGCATTTATTTTGAAATGTTCTATATGTATTTTAACGATATCTAGATTCGCTCCATTATATATGCCTATATATAATAGAGCTTTGTATATATTGACATATCACTCTTAATAGTTCATTCAATGTTTGTACATTCTAAGCAGTAAAAGAATACGGAGAATGGATTGTTAGTAGTGCGTGTGGTCCCCATTGCGCCCTATTAGGTTGACTTCCCTGCAGTTCAGCTTGGAAATTATCACGATCAATTTCTGATTTCAACTTTCTGTCTTACCTCATAATCATCCTAACTACTCTCTGCTAGTGCCTCGCACTATTATTTATTAAAACATTGCAATTTGATGTGTTAACTATCTTTCGAGTCTATCCATTGCAAAGGTACAAGTAATCAAATTATTTTTTCGTTATAAAATTAGTGTTATATTTATATAGTTTAAGGTTTCTTTGAAGTTTAAAGACTATGTAGTCAGTCAGTTGGCTTTTTGTTAGTTAGGCATTACGACAAATATACATACCTGGTTAGCTTCATGGTCGTTAGTGTGATTGTCGGGCTGCCAAGTACCGAGGGGTCGGTAGTCGGGAGTCGTCTCCCGCGAGAGAAACGCGAATTTCTTACGATTATTAGCGTCTTGCGGCTGCAGCGCCGGTGCCTCTTTACTGTTCGTGCGCGGCTTATGTGTTGATATTGTTACACCTGCGATATATATTAATTATTTTATGTAAGTGTTATAACTTGACTATCGTGACTTGGATCTAAAGGTCTGTGAGTGAGAATCTCGCCAACATATGACATAACAGGCATATTCCATGGATTTTTTTTTTCTACAATTGTTTATAATCAAAATTATTTATTATAATTAGTAGGCAATTTCATTATTGAATCAGATTAATTGCGATTATTGTCGCCATGTGTAAACATAGTAGGTGAAACATGTGACTGTATTAAAAAATAAACTTGTTGAATTTCAGTTTGACTACTTCAGTTGTAAAGTTTCCTTTTGATATTATTGTTCAATGATCTATAATCAGTGTTACATATTCCACTTTATAGCGAATATGCCCAAATGTTCAATGAAAAAAAAAAGCTAAGGAAAATAGTCTAATAACATATAAGTGGTCAAACTTGCCTGTTTTCATACTAATGAGCAGCGGCGGTGCATTCATCCCACTCAACCAATCCTTGGCGGAGAGTGCTGGCAGTGGCGCCGCCGTGTCTGGATATAAATCCTCCTAGAAAGTAATTGTGGTAAAAAATTTTATTTCTACATATATGGTATATTACTTAGATTAATAATTTTCTATACTTTGGGCATTTTTAGTGGATATTGTAACTACCAATGTAGTCCTAAATATGCAAACATATAAGAGATTTTAGTTTCACACTATCTAATTCTAGATAATAAATTTAATTTAATTTTTTTTTTAATTCTAGTTAATGAGTATGTGCATTAATCAATATATTTAAACAGTAAATATCTCAATATCTGAATATATAATCTTTATATATAGAATTCCCATATCATGGTGTTAGTTGCCATACTTTTCGGAAGCGGCTAATTTTGTTTGCCGGGTTCGTTAATAGTATATACATAAATGATTAATGTCAAATTTACCTGAAAACAGTCAGATTTTCTGGGCACGATCATAGATATAGGTTCGCACAGACCCCGCGACGTATGCAGTTTGTAGAAACGGAAAACTTCGCACGCCCCCGTGTTTACACCACGCTTGGGCATGAAGCCGAGGCCTCTCTGAAATAGAAATAAGTGCGATAAAAAACTTTCTAAAAACATTTTTATATTAGAATATTAATGCTAGTAGTAGTAATATGGATCGCTATATAATAAGCGGACAACCACAGTCAGATGTCTATAATAATTATTTAGTTCGAGGGACATTTTGGTGTGTTTTAAATTAAATAGGGTATTTTGTTTTGAATAAACTTGAATATGCGCATCATCAGAATGTTATAGCTATTATGCCAAAAAGTTTGACATATGCGAGTGTCTGAATATACATCTAATAATAATATTGTTAGGCTCTTTAGTGAGCCTAATCTAACCAACTAACTAACCTACTCGAGAACGGCGCAACCGATTTGAAGTCTAAGGAAGTTCCAAAAGGCTAGAAAATGTGAAATTACAAGAATAAAACAATGTACAATTTAATTTTCCAATTTAAACTTTTCGTACCTATAAAACAGGGGGAGTTCAGAAATATTTTTTTCGAGTACCAAATTAGTAAATTAATTTTTAGAGTATTCAGTAGGTAACACTGAGAACAAAGTATCAGTTAAGATATGTTTAAGAAAAGTATAAAGTAACATACAATGAAAATTAAAATAGTACAATGTAGTCATTATGAACCCTTTTGATTGCACAAATAATACAGCATTAAAAATAATGGTAATTTATAAGTATTAATAGGTACCTGTGGATTTCCGGATAGGAATTGGTTGAGAAAATGCACATATGGCGGTACATCGACAACTTCGTAGTATCGGATATTCCCGTCGCCCTTGCCAGCAAGGTAAACCTAGACATAATATTTTTTTTTACAAGCAGGATTAAAAAATGAGTGGGTTATAGAGAAATAGTGATATTGTAATATTGAAAGAAATCAATCTCTCGATACAATCTGAATGAGATGAATACGAATGTCATTTCCCTTAAATTTTTAGAGATGTTTACCTGAGAGAAAAAGAACTAATTAAATTATTGATACATATATTGACTCTATTGTACAAATCACTGTCAATATAAAAGATTAATTGCCTTGATCTTGTCATAAACTTTGAAATTGTTAAGTTTTGAAGTTGTCATATTAATATTAAAATTGTTTATGACCAATAAGAATAATTATTTATAGTGGATTTTCCGCGTGTGCACTTCATTCGCGTAACCATCATTCAACGGGTTAAAAAGTAGCCTGCTATGTCTATGTTAAATTATTATTGAAATTACTGATTTCCCACAAAATTGTTTAGACATAATAAGGTAACATATAGCTACATCGCTATAATTAGTATTCAAACGCTCATTTCTATTATTTTAAACTCACCATGTTAGTATCATAGTCGTAGTAAGGGAAAACAACTCCCGATGAGCTATCGATGGTCTCGCATACAAGGGGTTTGGAGAGATCATGCTGGTCCCACACCGCGTATTGTCGATCGCTGTACCGTGAGAACCCAGTAGTCAGCACCTTGCCCTGACTGCCAAGAAACGTGCACTTCGATGCCTTAGTACCTAAGTGGCAAGCGCCTTCCTGTAATTATTAAATATTGATTAAATATATATACATACCCATAAAATTTTGGATAGATGTGATGAAATATTTAGGAATATAGTGTGACACTATATTTTTAAATATAACACAACATACACTAGTACTTTTGGTATCGTTTTAAAAATTACATAATCATAATAATTAAATATTTCAATGACTAATAATTTTATTTTATTTTTAATGTAAAAAATTAAACTGGAATTCTATTTGAATTAGAAATTATATGCTAGAGGATTTCACACATCTTTTCTAATTATAATTTTAATGAGACAATCTTGACGGATGATACAGAGGTGCTTCCAATGCAGATATTTTTTTTAAATCTACGTCTACGTGAGACGTAGATTTCTACGTCGTCGTCAGAAATCTACGTCATGTATGGAACTAATGGAATAAAAGTAGCCTGTCTAACAAATAACGCACAGCTAAGAATTTATATTTATTTCAATAAATATAAATTAACACAGAAAATCACTTACTGAAAGTACAATTCCCCGTCTGGGTTCGATGACACGCAGTTTTTTATCTTTGCATGTAGTGGCCAGCAACGAGCCATCGCGGTTGAACGACATGCAGTATATCACATCACTATGGCAATCTATCACTTTTACAGCTTCACCTTTACCCACGTCCCATACGAAGATCTGGAAATATACAAAATTCAATGAAGAATTGCACAGACATGACCTTAACACAGCATAGAGAAAAATACCTCTTTATATCACATCTATACTTGTATTGTGCTTAGATATATATTTAAGTGCTCTATTTTGTTTCCATGATAAGCACTTTCGGTATATCATCTAATTACCTAAATAATATGCCCAAGACCAACCCATTTATATAAACCAAATAGGCACTTTAGTGCAGTCACGTTTCTTTATTCTAAGGCTTTTTCGGAATGAAATTTCGGTCAAAAACAATGAACAAGAAACTTGACTGTAGCACTTTTAAACAAATATTGTACAACTTTAATTTTTTAAGTCAAAATGTGTATGTATACAAATTACCAAATAGCCATAAGATTCAAAATATTATACAGACAGTGTGTTCTAGAGCATGACACATATTACATATATTTATATTAATCTTATACCAATAGTAGTACATTTTAGAGGAATTTATTATTTTGCATTTTGGAACGCGTAACCTCAATACATCTTTCCATAGTATAAAATGAAGTCGCTTAGATCTTTTAAACTACGGAACCGATTGTAATGCAGTTTTTAGCAATAGATCGAGTGATTCAACACCAGTGCGAAGCCTGGGCTGGTAGCTAGTGTAAAAAAAAATATAGATTTCCAAACGTGGTCTTTGGTAATGTGAAATTGTTTTGATAAACGAGCTTACGAGGCGAGTCTTCTTTGAAAGTTCAAGATATTAGTTATAACGGATAAGCCAAACGGTTCAATATCTTTTGCCGTTCGTTTAATACGTGTTGTCACGCAACGTTGCCTTATTATATTCGAATCCAGTTTTGCGTGACACTTGAATGTTAAAGTTCACCGTTTAGTCTATTTTGTGCAACAATAATAAACTGGGTCATATAAGTTGGCTGCATTATCTCATAAATGAACTAAAAATATTTTATCGGATAACTGTACCTCATTCGTTTATCGACATTAAGAAATGGCGACATTATTTTTAATTAATGCAGAATGCGATTAACTACAATATAATTATGTGATAAGTTATTATTCACGTTTATCATATCAAGTTACTTAAGTACATTTATTAAATTTATTTTAGTACTGTCCAGAAAAAAAGGTTTTATTTTGTCATTAAAGTACGTGGAGTATTTTAAAATATAATGAATAAATTTAATTACAAGAATACGAAACATCTTTTAAGTATTTGTCAACAGTTTCTTTTAAATTAAGAAAAGAAAGGACATAATAGTTCAATAATTTAACAGTCTTGCTTGCCAATTTTGCAAACGAGAGGTTAAATATATGTAGATAAAATCACAGGCATGCACTATTAGTTTGAAATACCGACAAAGATTGCAGTTTCAGCTTTTCATAAGTAAAATAACATGTATTTATTTTTACTTTCTCTATCCACCCAAAGGTAGCCTGGAAGAGATTGCTTAGCGATAAGACTGCCTTTTGTATCAGTTATTGTACATTTACTATTTTTTTTGTTCTGTAATTGTTGAAAAAAAAAAAATAAAATAAACTATAATATTACCAAATAATCGAATCCGGCACTTAGTAGAATGTTCTCGGCAGTGGGATGCCATTCTATGTATGCGACACGGCGCTTGTGTCCGTGTAGTTCCACCAACCAATCGGTGAGGTGCATAGATAGCCCTCCATCTGGTATATGCCATAATTTGACCTGCAACAGTTTGATATTTTTATTAACATGAATTTCCGAACAGATGTTTCAGTATACGTAAATTTCTAAAAAAATACATGGACTGTAAATTACTGTTTTCGCAAGAGTCAATCAACTAGTCTTACTAATATTATAAACGCAAAAGTTTATAAGTATGGTTGTTTGTTACTCTTTCACACAAAAACTACTGAACTGATTTTGATGAAACTTTACAGTAACATAGTTTATGCATCATACTTATGAATAACATATTCTTTTATTGAAATTTAACGCGGGTGAAACCGCGAACACAGCTAGAAATGAATAAAAATATATCAATATTTCTTTCATGGCACAATAATATATATATATATATATATATAACACTTGCAAATATCCATACAATTGCGCGTAATTAACATTAACGAAAAGCAATTGAAGATATATTGATTCGGAAATAATAGATACCAGTCATATGCCAAGGTCATGACAATAGATCGGTGTATATATAAGAAACAACTATTAATAGAAAATAATTACAGTGGTACCATCGATTTATAATTTGAAAAATAACATTATACATAATAATGCAATATTTGGAAGAATGTTTGTGAAAAATAAGTGAAGAATAAGTGTAAAAAAGTGTCTGGAGCGGGAACACAATGACTATTTTATATTTAAAAATCAGAATAATTTTAACAAATAGTATATTTTCCAAGAGAGCTCACAGCGAAGGCTAGTTCAAAAGTTGACATAAAAGCAGATACATAGGTACGTATCTGCTTTTATGTCAACTTTTGAACTGTATTTTAGATTAAAATAATACAAAATTTATAAAAAGAATAGTAGACAAGCTGCCCGCAATAATCATTACACAATTTTATTTATTATATAAATTTATAGCAAATTAAGGAAATACTATGCAAAATATTGAATAAGACCGTAAATTTATGTAAAAATTTAAATATTATGTATGTAGGAACTTATTGAACGGAACTAGCCTTATTTACATTTTCATGTTCATAATGTAAACCGACAAATTGGCCGAACGGAACATCCTCACGTAATGGGCAGTTGCCACGGGCAAATTGCAGGCACGACAAAAATGTATTTAAAAAAAAATATTACGAACTAAATTACCGTGCAGTCATCAGAACACGAGGCTATAATGTTGTCGTTGAACGGATTCCACTTGATATCGAGCACTGGGCCTTTATGTCCGGTTACACGACTCGCGTTGAAGTCCAGCCGGCCAGTCTGAAACATGATATTTATTGTAACTGTATTATGAAAAAAAAAAAAAGAATTAAAAATGACTTAGTCCCTATAACACTAAACATTATGTTGGTATACTCTTAGATTTATTTCTGTTTGTATCGATTTTATAACAGTTTAATAGAAAATATTTAAAAAAAAGGATGATGTAAAAAGGAAAGCTAGTAAGTCGCTTTAACTTTTCTTTTCTGTTGCTTAGTTGTTTTCACGTTATGCACGATATACTGCTATGTCACCGTACCAATCCTTCATATTCTTCTGTAATTTTAAAACGGACCTGTCTACGTATAATTTTTTGTCTGAGGATATAGCAGTCGTGCGAGTTCCTTACAACATATCCTTCTACCACACAATGATACAACAATCTACCGTCCACAGCGTGATAGGGGCTTTATTCCTTATCACTTTGCATTAGAATATCAGTAATAATATGGCCTATTTTAATCAATATAAACAACAAATGCTCAATTTCATAAAATGCAACATTTGTTTTAATTACAATTACAGACTACTGCAGTTGTAATTAGGACAAATGTTGCAGTATGGTTATTAGACCATAATGTTCTTTAATTGTTCAGTTAGTATTGTAATGCATGATAGATAACTTACACATAAAACATATCTACATCTAAAATAGGTGTATTCAGCAACGTTCCAAGCAATGTAATAATCTTTGTGCGTCTTATTATCAGTCCGGTAAGAATACAATAATTTTTCAAGATCATTATCGGATCCTTCAAAATTATATCATATCTAGGTGTTGCAGGTATGCAATACCCACAGCGAAATATAATAATTATGTTATCCGTTTTATCATGACAAATGAAACACTGGTTTCTTTCAGTTATTAGATTGTAGTTGTTCGCTATCGTCCAACGTTACAATAAAGATAAGGTGACGTTGGTAACTTCGGTGCGTAATTAAAGATTGTTGAACAAACCCCGCTCCTAATGGAAGTTTAAATACATCATTTCATCATCATCATCATCATCGTCATCGTACATCATTTATAAATTTATTACGACCCTAATTTGTGTCTCTAACAGCTTGTCTGTTTAAGTTAAGAACATAATCATTACAATACAAAATTTAAAGCCAGGGACGTCAGAATTAATATAAACAGCTATTATCTTGATTATTAGAAAAATATTAAACGATCAGTGGAATGGAGGGACATATCTCTATTGAACACTATAAGAGGTTCAACAATATACACATGTATATTGTCAATTGTTGCATGTGCAATGAGCATGTCAATCGCTGATAATGTAACTTTCTATAAATGAAAAAAATCGATTGAGCATATTTTCAGTTTATTCAATTTGAATTATGTAAATTCAAAAGTGTGTATGTCTGGCTGTTTGCCGCCTTTTCACGACTAGATGGCTGAACGTATTTTAATGAAAGTATAACATGAGGACAGGCATAGGCTAATTTTATCACAAAAATTTGGATGATAGTGAAACTTTGTGCACAATAAGCCGCAGGTAATACACAATAAGTAACATTAAGTTAAAAATAAAAAAATCCTTTTTATAAAGATACTGGTAGCGTACCTTTTTATAATAATATCATATTAGATAATATAGTTTACTTATTAAAAAGAGAAAATTACATATTATATTAATGTAGAGAAAATAAATTATTATCTTATCTCCTAATCATGAGAATGCCAATTACTATCAATTATATATTTTGCCAGTTACCTAGTGCCAGTGAGTGCAGGCTTCTAAAATTTCATATTACCATCAGATAAAAGAAGATACTGTAGCAACTGCTTGTTACTTATAAAACCGATTTAAATTATAACAATGTGACGTTACGAATTAAACTCTCACGATATTTCCAGTTACGATGATATCGTCGATTCTCGTGACGGTATCGCGTTAATTAGAGACGCAGATTACGTTCAGTGTACCAATGCGCGAATATTATAAGCAATATACAATTATCACTTTGTTATAGAATTTTATGGTTGAATGTTGCACAGGTGGAGGTTAAAGCGTACATTAGTCCTCTAGACATATTGTAAAGTGGTAATATTGAATAATGTTGAATGGTATGTTAAGCAACAGTATACTTTTGTCAACAATATTCAGAAAAAGAAACAATTTAGTTCGTAGTCTGTAGGTTTCTATTGGAAATTCCAATAGAAACCTACAGACTACGAACTAAATTGCTGTGCCCGATATCCATTACAAGCGTAAAATTATAAATGGAATTATTGTATAATAATTGAACGATTAGTATTTTAGTTTTGTAAGACATGCGAGGATACAAAAATATCTAAAGCTTTCGTACCAATAATGATTTATCGGTATTATGTTAAAATATATTTGGAATTATCAATAATTGAAGAAATTGAAAACTATCACTAACGAAACTCTAAATTATTTAGTTCGACACATAAATAATAAAATCATAAACAAGCCGCGTATACATGTGATACTCATATTATCGAGTATTTTTTTTTATTTTCTTCTTATCTATGCGCGCTTGTAATTTTATAAATTGTCATTTGAACGCGGTTTATATTAATATATATTGCAGCAAGCTTCCTGTAATGTTTAATTCCTAAATAAGTTAAAAAATAAGTCATCCAATTTTTACCATTAATATCAGTATGAAGTCATCGAAACAGATGATGGCATTTAATATTTCGCTTTTAATATGCAATTTGCTAGGCGTAATATTACTAGGAAATTCTTATTGATAATGCGCTTGCAAAGCTATGCTCTACTAATGCCACATGTAGCGTAGAACAAATTAGTAAGTAGTAGTAAGTAGCATTGCTTTGTAATTAGGTACATGTTACTTTTAGTCATATCGACATACTGGTTTGTAATTTGTATAATACTAGCTGTGTCCCAAAAGTTTTACATGTTCATACGGCACCATTAATTTTTCGTCACAATGACAATTTTAAAAATAGATTGGATTTTATTAGTATACGTCAATCGTTAGTTGCATCTTACATATTATAATTTATTCGTTTTTCTTTTAAAGTAGGTTGATTACTTACACATTTTTTGTTTTTTAAGAGAATTTTTGAAAATTTTTCAGTGATTTTTTACTATTTTCAAAATAGATAAGTTTTACTGTATCTTTATTACTAAAACGACTATAAATTAAATGTGTATGGTGCACTATATTTAAGTTTGTATATTACTATAACCATTATATGAATATTGTGGTGAGCGGTAGCATAAGCTGGACCACGCGGTCTCCCATCTATGTATCGTGGTTAATTACTCGTGAATTTTACACAATAGGTTAGCCTATCGTTTAAATCTTGATTTTACTTCAAGATCATCCAAACATCCTCCATCCTAGCGTATACCGTTCCATATTGTAATATTATATATATCTCTAATATTGATTATTATGGTTAGGTATGTAAAAATACTAATAGCCATTGTCTTATATATGTGTGCTTGTAATGAAAGACTTAATAGTGTGTGTATTTGTTTGGTTATAGTATTTGTAACCTTGATTCACTAAAACGTTTTTGTTTAAGGAATATTGACGCCTATTGTGAGTTTCTTTAGATAAATACCAATTTAGTTCTATTCAACTAAGATAGTTTCAAATTTCACCTATCTGTTAGCATTCCTCAAAGTAGTTGGTGTGCTCCGGAAACGGAAACATGGAGAGAAGTCTTGTCAACAACAGCTCTAAATTTAGATCTCTCAGGTAAGAATGCGCCACTCTTCTCAATAAACGTAACGTGAGTATAAGTTGGGTTTTTTTGGTGTTTCTTTTTATGGTATATTATGTATTGCGAACACTAAGCTAAATACATCGTTATGTCATACTTATTTTTATCAGCAGGATGTTATATTAAACCTACTAGGACAGCATAATACGCCGGCTCATGAAAACCCTAAATAAACTGCCTTACTAACATAAGTAGAGCAAATTCGTGCGTAAAAACTCCGTGCGCAACAGTGGAAAGCTAAATATATGTTATAGTTTCGCGGGTCGATATGTTATAGTAATCACGTGTATTAATTTGAGGTTATTGTTTACTAATTACCTCAATGAGAAATAAACTTCGTGTATTTATGTAGTACTTTGGTTCCAGTTTATTTTATTTAAAGGTCATTTAAGTTAAGGACAGCTAGCACTTTGTCGTGTCGAATATATCAAATGCCGTAGCGTAAATGCCAATGAGTATGTATTTGACAAATCTGAGTACAACTATATATTATAATTGAAATGTATATTTTAGTAAAAGTATTCTACGAAATGTAATTTGTAGTATAGTAGTTTAAAGTATTTTCACATATCATCATGATATGGTTTTGTTTGAATTTATATAATTCAAGGCGTAATTAACATACTTTGATGGGGAAAGTTGCAAAGAGTATAAGGCAGGTCTAGCGAGTAATAAGAAAAATGCCGAGTAACTGTCTAATGATGCACATATGGATTGCAGTCGGTAACATTTCAAACAAAACAAATACCGTAATAATAAAACATTACTTAAAACACAATAAAATATGTCTAATAATAATTAAATTGAAAAAAAAAAAACAATTTCGCAACATTTTAGTTTTGTCGCATATTTAGATATTGTTACGTGATATCGACACTAAAATACATAAGAAATTCAGTGCAATACAAATTCGGTAAATTAGAGGTTAACTATGTGGATTTTATAATTAAAACGGATCATTATAATATTGATCTAGAAAATTTTTTGCCAATACTCAAATGCTTTTAACACTAACAATTTGTAGTTTACTTCGGAATTCGGGATAAGATTAGATAAAAAATACAAGACTTTCATCACATGTTTAGAATAGATAACATAGACAAAATGTGGTATGTAATTTTTTTTCCGTGACTGTATTATATGTTTATAATACAGATTCATTCTTATCAGTAACCCCATTGTTTAATACAATAAAAGTAAATAGTTAGGTAACCTATTTACTATTACAAAATTTTATTGACTTCTATTTCCTGTTTAGGTATGATTAATAATTCGGCGATTGTTTAAAAATTGTTCTCTGACCATTGAACAAAATAAGTTCATATATTATATTAATAATTTAATTTATAATATGACATGTCGTCATAATGACTTTTTATTTTTTGATAGTAACAAATTTGTTACAAACTTTTGTATGACTGGAGATAGATTTTATCTGCCTAAAAAACAAATAACAAATATAGCTAGTTTACTAGCTTATAATATAAATGACCCCATTATAAGTAATATAATGGGTTGCATTAATCCAATTAGTAGTACTTGTACTAATGTTAATACTAAACATACTGAAAATATTGACATAAATATTGATTCTAGTAAGAATCCTTTTATTTACAAAAATTTAAATATGACTGCAGATTTAAACTGCTGAAAAAGACAAAGGGAAAGCTATCAGAATTGAAAATTGTTCACCAGAACATACAAAGTTTTCTCGGCTGTGAATTAATTATTCAATTGTTTTTAGAAAAAAATAATATAGATGTTTTATGTTTAACTGAACATTGGCTCAAAGTGAGCAATATGATGTTCAGCTTAAACAATTATAATATTGTCAGCTGCTTTAATAGAAAAATAGTAAATAGAGGAGGTTCTATGATATTGGTGAAAAATAATATAAAAGTAAAAGAACGTAGTGATATTGGCAATCTTTCTGTTGAATGTTGTATTGAAATTTCCTGTGTGGAACTAGACAATTATATAGTTATATGTGTTTATAGACCTCCAAATAGTGATTATAATTTATTTGAAGAGGTAATGGAGGATATTTTAAAAAGAGTATTTAATATTAACAAAAAAATTATAGTGTGTGGTGATTTCAATGTTGACATTTTATCACATAATACCACAAAAACTAAATTAATGAGTTTATTTCAATCCTTTGACTTGAGTAATGTCTTCCACGAACCCACTCGTATCACTGCCACGTCTGCTACTTGCTTGGGTAACATATTTAGCAACAGTGAGTATTTAGATAAAATAATAATAAACAACCTTCCTTCTGATCACTGTGGTCAAATAGTTATTTTTCCAAATCACTTAAACAAAATTGGGAAAATTAATTTATTAAAAAGAGACTTGACTAGTTATAAGATAAATAAATTTAAAATATCAGTTCGTAGTAAATTAGATTTTTATCTTCCATCTAATGAACCTAACAAACTTTATACAGATTTCTTCAATATTGTTTCTAACGAATATAATAAGACTTTTAACAAAAAAACTATCAGTATTATTAACAAAACAAAATTTTCAGAATGGGCTACAAAGGGAATTCTTAAAAGTAGAAATATATTATTTGATTTATATGCTCAAAAAAAATACCGTTTCGATAGTACATTCGTAAATTATGTAAAAAGATACTCAAAAACTTTTAAAAAGGTATGTAATGTAGCAAAGTCTAATTATCTAAATAAAAAAATTAAAGAGTCCAAGGATAAGATAAGGACAGTGTGGAATATTATTAACAAAGAAACTGGCAAAGTTAAAAGTCCATATAACGATTTTACGCTAAATTATAATGATAAACTAGTAACGTCCACAAAAGAAATTGTCAATATTTTTGAAAATTTTTTCGCTAATATTCCAACTGATATTACTTCCTCTTTGGACTCTTCTCCTGGTACAGCTAAATCATTCCTTATTGATAATGTTGTTTCTTGTCCGGTTACATTTAAATTTACATTTATTGACATTGCTACAATTACTAAAACATTTAAACAATTAAATTTAAAAAATACTGAAGACCATTGGGGCATGTCTGTTAAAGTTATTAACACCGCTATAGATGTTATTGCTCCATATTTAGTAATTGTTTTCAATAAATGCATTTCTGACGGTGTTTTTCCCAATTTAATGAAACATAGCAAAATAACTCCACTCTTTAAGTCAGGAGAAAAAACTGTGGTAGGTAATTATAGGCCTATATCTATCTTACCAGTATTGAGTAAAGTGTTTGAAAAAATTATGCTCAATCAAATGCTACAACACTTTAAAGTAAATAAACTGCTTCACAGTCGACAATTTGGTTTCACGGCCGGTAAATCAACTACTGATGCCGGTGTAGCTCTCATTAAATATATATTTGATTCTTGGGAGAGGTCTCAGGATGCAGTCGGTGTATTTTGCGATCTTTCAAAAGCATTTGATTGCGTTGAACATGAAACACTTTTGCTCAAACTTGAACATTACGGTATTAGATATGAAGCACAAAGCATGATGAAATCCTATCTAAATAATAGAATGCAAGTTGTCGAAATAAATGGTGTAAAGTCTGAAGGAACTAGTATTAAAATGGGTGTTCCTCAGGGCTCCATTTTAGGTCCTTTCTTATTTTTAGTTTACATAAATGATCTTCCTTATATGGTAGAAAAGATAGCTGACATAGTTCTGTTTGCTGATGATACTTCATTAGTATTCAAAGTCAATCGACATATTGATGATTTGGACGAAGTAAACGGTGCTCTTTCTTATGTTTTAAAATGGTTTACGGCTAATAATATGTTACTAAATGCAAATAAAACTAAATGTATCAAATTTACTCTCCCCAATGTAAGGCCGGTAGATTCAAAAATCATGTTGGACAATAAACCTATTAATTTTGTGGATGATACTGTATTTCTAGGTATCACATTAGATTCTAAGTTGCAATGGGGTGCCCATATTACTAAATTAGCGAGTCGACTTAGTTCTGCCGCTTATGCGGTAAGAAGAATTAGACAATTAACAGACGTGGCAACGGCTAAACTTGTGTACTTTAGCTATTTCCATAGCATTATGTCGTATGGTATTTTGTTATGGGGCAAAGCAGCTGATATAAATACAATATTTATTTTACAAAAGAGGGCCATTCGCTCCATTTATAGCATGGGTTCCAGGGAGTCTTTGCGAGAGTGCTTTAAGGAATCAAATATCCTCACCGTTGCTTCTCAATATATTTATGAAAACATCATGTATGCCAGGAAGAATATAGACAGTTTCAAAAGAGTTAGTGATTGCACTAATAAAAGCTTACGTAACAATAACAAACTGATTTTACCTAAATGTCGTTTGGCTAAAGTTAGTAATTCGTTTTATGGCAATTGCGTAAGGTTTTACAATAAAATACCAGAGTCTGTTATAAATCTGCCAGAAAAAAGATTTAAATGTCAAATAAAACACTTCCTTTGCAAAAAAGCTTACTATAAAATTGAAGAATTCGTTAACGATAATAATGTTTTTGTAGAAAAATTTTAAATACATAGCACTGACAATATTATCTGATTACACTAATAATGAGTGCGTAGCGATTTCTATGTTGATTGTCGCATGCCTCTTACTTGTTACACTGTAATTATTTATATAAAAAAAACATCTATCAAAAAGAGCAACACACAAGTTTCTTGCTCGTTCTTCTTGTGATGAATCTGCATTCCGAATGAGTGGTAGAATCAAAATATGACTATTCAAAAGTGCTTGTAATGAGTTTATTTGAATAAAGATTATTTCTATTTCTATTTCTATTTCTAAAAAATTATAGAATCTTTAAGTCAAAGCATTATATATTTCAAGGAAAATAGATTTTTCCTCCATGTATTGTTCTTTCTTCTGTACCGTATAATTAAAAAGGTGTTCTGGTACTTACATGATCTAAAGGTAGAACGAGAAAGGCACCTCCGCCGGCGACTTCGGTCACGATGGCCACAAATTTAGGGTTGACGGCGCAGAAGTTGGAGTCGTGGGCATTCCTTGTTATCTTTATGTTGTCATAGCAACGCTCTCTTTTGAAAGACACGCCGTAAACATGGCGGAATTTGGAACTCCTCACGCCTCGAAACCATACCTGAAATTTTTAATTATTAGTAACCGTGCTCTTATGATACGATGTCGAGATTTTTCAACATAAATTGTTAGCTAGATAATGTGCTCCGCCAACATTACTCCATAGATTCTAATCATATACAATTAATTGTGTAATTCACGTAAAGAGATGTTTTTCGAACTGATGACCCCTTAAGATTGTTATTAAATTTCTCATATCGTAGTTTCGCAATATAAACCTACCGGACGTTCAGTTGTTTGACACTTTTGCGTTTTACTATCGCTGCACGTTCATCACTATGTTAACTCGACGTTGGCAGAATTCGAAAGTTTCTATATTCGTTAAAAAAAGCTATCATCTGACTTGATTATATCTATTATTAAGAAAAAAATAAACTAAGTGTATAGCGAGTAATAGCGAGACCTCGGCTTTAGACCATCCTTCTGGTAGACTCTAGGAAAATTATTATGGAGGCGATATTCACACACTTCGCAAAACTAAGCACAAAACGATCAATTTAGCTTGATGATGTGTGTATTATTGTTGCTTTAAATGTCATATGATTTGAAAGTAGATCCGTAAATACAATATATCGTTAGCTACATTTTTAAAGTATATGTACTGTAATCATTGCTCCATTACGTCAACAGGTCTGTTCTCTTGGATTACAATATTAGACTAGTGTCAAGTTTAGTAAAATATCTTGTTTATGCCATCTGAGATTGCAGTCATCTTTATACTTATTAATTTATTACTGTTTCAGAAGAAGTGTAGAGTCATATTTATATTTTCACACTACTTTAACATAATGCTCCATTGTTCATTGGTGTCGCTCACGACACCGCAATGATTTTGTACGTTTCACTGAATGAAAGGAAAATAGAAATTTGTAAGAGGTTCAACAATTCATTATAATAATATTTATAAAAAAAAAAACGGGAAAGCAAGTTAATTATTATATAAATAATGATAATAAATAATTCTGGACGTCTGGATCATAGTGAGATATAAATTATCCAGTTTAAAAATAAAAATACAGGTAGGAACAGATACAGGAACGTAACATGTACACATATCAACGCAGACCAATCACAAATGCAATTTTATTAAATTGTAACGATTGATTTTATTATTATTAGATTGTAACCTACAGCTATTTTAAGTAGAAGCCTGTGTGTCAAACCTCTACACTACCAAGGTCTTTAAAAATGTTATGAATAAATTAATATCATAGAACTTCAGTCTGTGATCTCAGATGGTATTAGACAGTTGTTATTATATACAGTGATTGGTTAAACAAGATTTCGGGCAACATTCATTTTAAATTGGATGTATGAGTTGTTTGTTAATAAGTTTGTATACACACAAGAAAACAGATAAGCATTAGCAATGCTTGTAAAATGTAGGTGTGATAATAATAATGAAATGGAAAATACAAGTGTAATATAGGAAATAATACAGACATTGAAGCATGTACAATAGTTGTAATATGCCATACGATTACAATTAGTTGAAGCAAATATAATTTTCCCGTAAATATACACCATATACCCGTACCTATCTAGAAACTACAGCATGAGGATTTTCAAGATGCTATGGTATTTCAGACGTCTATAAGCCATGATAACCATTTACCATCAGATGGGCATGCATGTTTGGTACAAACGAGGTATAAAAAAGTGGTTTTAGTATTCATAGATTAGGTTGAGAATTGAGATTGTCGTCTGTTGTTTGGCATACATGCCAGTATGGCGACCTAGAATATTTTTCATTAGCTACCGGAATCTATATATGACTATACATTTTCTCAGACCTTTAAATTGTCATATCATACTTAGATTTACATTTACTCGAACCGGCAGATTTTTGAAAGCGATTGATCGAAATCATATCGGGTACGTGTCAAATGGAATTAAAATCTGCTCTAGATGGAATTGAGAACAACTGAAAGTAATGTTAGGTGTCACTTTCGATGCCTGAGATTGGGACTATCAAGTCATTTTCATTTAGGTACTTAATTTCATTGAACTGTATTTGTATTAAAAATATTAGGAACTAGCTATCGCCTGCGTGGAATTATATATATATTTTTTATTATGTTTAATATTTTTTCAGTAACAAAAGTAGACCGAGTTATACCTCTTAACATTAGCTGTTTGCGAGTGAAAATCACGTCAAAATCGGTCTAGCCGATTCACAGATTAGCAAGATCAAAACACAGAAAAATATTTTTTGATGTACGGACTGTATTTACATATGCATTTAGTGAAAATTTCTTAATATATTACAAAAAGACGCTTCAAATTTATTTATTTGTATAGATGCCATTACCTAGTTAAAAAGCACTACAAACTTACAAGTTCTATATTTTTCCGTGAGTGAGGTTGGTAAACTACTTAACACTGATATTTTTTCTGTTTTTTCTGTTCTGTTCTGTCATGTCAAAAGAGTTCTGTCATAATTATCCTTATTAAACAATAACAGTAAAAGAATATAGACGGAATTGTCACATGCTACATGTATGTGAAAATTGTAAGGAGTAAGTTAAGACTACTTTTATTTTAAAATTTTAGAAATATTATTCATTTTAATAAAAAAAGATTTAAGTCCACGCGGACAGTCTTGAGAACATCTAGTCAGATAATAAGATTGTTATGCAGTAATAGGATATATAGGAACATTGTGAATATAAGTCCTGTGTGACTGAATAATACACTCTAGTTCTATCGAGAAGTCGCGATGAACCAAGAAACATCCATATCTTTACTTTATTCCAGACATCGCCTGACAATTTTGTGTACCTATATGTTGATAGTTTTGTTGTTTTTTGCATAGACTACACAAATTGAAACCATCTGGCAAACGCAATGTGCAAATACATGCAAGTATGTCACATAGTCAAGAACTGATGTACAAATGTAGTTCAAATTAGATATTTACAAAAGATGCTCTATTGTATATAGACGATTAAAATATATAACCGAATTAAAATAGAGTGGTTGAAAACTAGTATATCTCATAAAAGTTAACATTATAATTAAAAAAATTAAGAAAAAAATAACTTTATGGTCTGATAAAATAATGTCCTACTTCACTGTACGCTGACGAGCATTATGGCCAATTAACATCTTTACGTAATTAATATAAACTATCGTGCATACTCGGACTAGTTTAAAAAGAATAAAAATTAACGCTGCTGGATATTCAATTGTAGAAGTTAGTACGTAATGACTTCTATTATTACCGTACTCTTTCTTTAGTTGTGTAGCTATGTATGTGTGCAACATAAGAGTTATTTAAAAATAAAATATTTCCAAGAATTGATATACGAACTAATATATAAATATGAATACATACTAATATATTTAATTTATGCATGAATAAAATCATTATTATATATTCCTACATAATAATGGTTAATATTACTAATACTAAAATTACAAAACCAATATTATATAGGTGTACAAAAGTCTGCTTGGATTTGTCGATACAATGATCGATTTTTTAAAATAAGTTTGAGATAGAACTTTGGCAAAATGGTGTGAATGAAGTACTAAACATACATACATATTACTTTAAAATTTATTATACTATAATAATTCAACATCAACACATCACAGGGTATTCGTACCATCTCCATTCATAACAAGAGGATATTAGCATAATAGTAATATATAAAATATTAAATTAAGCAATAACATTATGGTACCCTATATAAGATGTCAGATCGCAATGACGAATATATACTTCTTTACATTGTAAGATAAAGGTTTACTTATAAATTTATCCAAAAACCATAAAACTCGATAGGATACCACCGCAACGTTATTTTTGTTAGCAGGCCGTCTTAAAACAGTGTTTATAAAACGGCTGGTTTTTCGATGATTTACTCATTTGCTATTATTAGATGCCCATAAAGGAAGTAATTACCTACTTATCTATTGTTTAAGAACAAAGCTAAAACTAAACAGATACACTAAAATAGAAAGTGCGCGTAAAAATATATATGAAATGAAACAATACCTGTGAATTAGTCATCTCGCCGCAAGTCTACTCCTGTGCAGAATCAACGCATGCACTACTTTATAGGCGATCTCTATACAGTTCTGTGCATTTTACAAATAGCCGTGTACACAAATAACATAAAAATCAGCAGCCCACAACATTGCAGCACTTCGTAACTTAACACTGAAATTTGCAAATAAATAAAACGGATGCATTAAACATAACATAAAAATGAAAAACCATGTGCAAAAACTGTACAAAACATAATGGACACTGCGGACACTAGTTGTGGTAATGCTATGTCGGTTTGAAATAGTAATTACGTGTGCGATTATGACAGAGCGGTAGAGGCGCGTGTCTTGAGATGCGAATGAAAAAAAAGTGAAAAGATACTCGTTACTAAGTCATTGCCGCCGTCGTTGATGATGAGAGAAATTTAAATCCAACGTTCATTCTCTCGTCGACATAGCATCAATAAAATGGCAATAAAATAGAATTTAAGAAACATGTAAGTTGGTGCTTTAATTATATAGCATCCGATCGAAAGTAGTTTTTACAGTTGAAAACGAAACTTAATGTCGGTTTATGTTTTAGTTTCAGTCGAAATAGAAAATTTATATTTCGGAGTTTCTTAGTTCTCTTGTACATTTCTATATTACTTTTACATATATATTTCTTATTTATCTGTTTAATGTTTCATTAATACACATAAAAATATATAGCAATCATATCAATAAATGTTGTTAAAAAATATTAATTAATCATTCTTTGATTACAATAAAAATATATTTATCAAAATAAATGTGTTAATTGTACAATAAATAGAACTACCTCGGAAAAGTTTTTTTTGTTCTAGCCGAATCTAGATCTGCTCTTTTAGTTTAGTATATTTATAATATGCCGTCTAAAATGAAACAGATTAGTTCAGAATATTACGAAGAAAATCTGTTACTTTTTCATTTTGTTGGATTCTATTTATTTTGATACAAATATTTTTTTATCTATCTATTTTATTTATGATTGAAGAATTCGCCACATTGTCGAACAAAGGTTTTTTTGTACTAAAAACATAAACCGGCTGAAATTCGCAATATTGTAACACTTTCCCTGTTCCACGTTCGAGATGGTATTACATGATAGTCAGCAAAGCGTTACAAAAAAAAACTCTAGATGAATGCACTACCGCCTACAACTTCGGGCAGCAGGTACAGTCAGTTTCATAAATATATGATGATAGAGTAGTCAATAATGTGACGATAGAATAGCTTTAAACATTGATAGCAAGATTTTAATTTTATTTTAGCAATTACGGTTATTGAATAATTAAAAAAAACAAATAATATACCTTTCGCCTCGATAGTCAATTGTTACACGGTAAAAATAATTATTTCAATTAGAATGTGTTGCTAATTTTTTTTTAGTCAGAACAGTAAGATTATATGATAGTGGATAAACTATTGACTACGTATATTTTAATACAATTCTGATCGTATTTCATCTATATATATTTGAAACTGACTGTACTAACATATGAACAACTAGCACTTACGTCACGGTTCGTAGCTTCGAATTAAATACAAACAATTACCTACTATGAAGCAAATTACGCAATTGAATGTAAGAAAATAAATAATTATAAATATTTGACCATGATTTTATGAGCTGACGTCACCGATTATATCATACCTAATGAATGACTGCCTCTTCAAATAGTTCTTGATCGATACAATCTTCACGATAGACATCATAAAAATACAAAACAACATTCCCAACAATTAGTTGGCTATTAAAATACATTAATTGAAGATTCAAATTTTTAATAACATAAATGGTGAAAGTCTAGTGGAAATGTAAATTAAATTGCTGACTAGTAATAAACAATATTTTATATCATAAATAAATAATAGGTACCTCAGGTTAAAGAATGGGCTGGAATTTCTTTTTGTTGCATATGAATGATTCTTAATGAATCCTTTGTCTTATAATATTGCATTTAGAAACACCACAAATAATGTGACTATTTAGTTAGTAAATGATTTTTTCTATGAAATTAAACAACAAATTAATTATCGACCAGAAGTAGTATAATTGTCATAAGGGCATTCTTTAATAAAACAATTTAATGTAAGTAAATCATAAGGATCTACTAATATAATAAAAATTTAACATATCTAATTTATATTACTGGCTTAAAATTTTGTAAAAATATGGGAGTATTTGTTTAAGCATCTTTTAATGGTAAAAGGATTGGCTGACAAGCATGACTTAGTAGACTGAAGTAGATTGTTGACGAAAGATTGAAGATTCCTTCTATACACCGAGTAAATGATAATGTAAACAATATAAAGTCAACAAGACACATGGTTTAATACCTCAACACTGGTTAAGCGCACAATACATTGACAAATACTTTAATCAGATCACTACAGCAATTGATATTTGACATTAACACTTCTGTCTTATGAATCTTTAATCTTCAGCATAGGGCATCTCTGTCAAGACATTGCCAAGCTTACTACAGAGATTTTCATTTATGATTGTTATATTTTATGAGGGACAATAAATTACATATTATTATGTTACCTATCTAAATAATGGAAACCAATGTAAAGCAACAAGCCAACTACTGCTTTAAAATATGTCTACATCAAAAACATATAAAAAAGCATATATTTATTTACGAGTATTTAACTTTTCCTATAGAATGATTAATGGCTGATATTTTTTTTTAATTCAGTGAAAGATTGAAATCATAAAACATATTATATGGCCACACACAGTCAACATATACATTCTTAGACTGTTCTATCCTTATTGGTATGCATGATTCAATATAATTAGCAATAAATAATGTAAGATAACCAGGGTATGCATAATTGATAATACAGTATCAGAGAATAATTGGTAGTACCTGATAAATAAACAAATATATAATACATACAAAATCTGCAAATTCAATATAAAGTATAGTAGTAGATAAAAGTTAAAATGTTGTAAATATGTATGTAGTTGTACAAGCCTCCCACTGGAATATTCAGCCCACTTTGTAACTAAATTATATGATAAATTCTTCCCGCGCTTTGATATGACGATATGATTTGGATGATTGTTATAGTTCCTGTGCTCAAATGAAATAATTCGGATAAGAGTGTGCTTCCATAGACCTAGCAATGATTGTTTTCAAAGACAATATACAAAATTTTACTTATTTGTGTCAGATAATTAATAAGAGTTAGGTTATTAAAAATAAAACTTACAAAGATCACACCATACTATAAGACCCAGCAAAGAAGGGATTTAATTTTATATCTTCTCTTAAACTTTCAAATTACTTATTAGTAACTTAAAACTCTTTCCACAGGACTCTATTATAGTTTTAACATTTTAGTGTATATAAGAGAATGATTCAGACATTTAGTACCAACTAACATTGAAAAACAAAATTGACATTTTTTAATTGTTTTGTTGGTAATAAATATACCTATTAGTGGGAAGCAAATTCTTAACTTACAAATTTCACTTTTCAATTCTGCTAATGAACAGACATATTTTATTTAACATAATTGTACAAAATATATTTTATATACTTTTTGGAATTAATAAAAACATGTTAAAGTTCGATGACAATAAGATTTAACAGTCTGAAATCTAAAATTGACATTTGCACTCATTAAGATTTCACACTATGAACTGTGATTTAATACTACTTTAATTTATATATTATTAAAACTTTAAAAAAACATTTAGTACAGAAAATCAGTGATAATCAAGACATGACAAGGACTCAAGGTACTGGTAAACACACATGTGGTATATTTTGCAGATATAGATGTACACATAGATAGACGATGGGCACTTACCATCTGAGTGGTCTGTTTGCTTGGTTGGCTCTTTATAAAAAGAAAAATTACAATAAATCTATTTATTAAAGTCTATAAACATAATTACTACTATTATATATAAGAGTTATATTATAATTTTGTCTACAGAATCTGTAATGTAAGTACAAAATTGTACTTATATGTGTAATACATATAGTCATTATACTTGGTTGAATATAAATATTTAAAGAACATATTATTTGGATTTTTAATGCTTTGGAATATAAGCGATGGACTTACATTACTGCAATAATGTATTTTGTAGACTTAACACGTTGTGTCATTAATTTTACTATTCACGTCCAAATTAACTAGATAAATGTATTTACATACGATTTTAAATATTATATTTATTTGTAATATAAATAAAGTTTTACCTTTGCGGCAGGTTTATTACAAGCTCTAACGTCCACCAGGGCGCTGTTCTTAGCTGGACTCTTTTCAGATATGTTGATTATATCCAAACAATTAGCTTCTCTTATCGTTTCATCTTTTACGGGAGGCATATCCCTGACACGAATTATTAATTAAAATTATTACAATTACTTTGTTTGTTGTATTTCTATATCAAAAAACACAACAGACTACAATGGAGTACTAATCGAAATGAAAAATGATTGAAGTGAATGAATGAATGTATAACACCGAATTACAGATCAGAAAGATTGATATACTGTTTTTTTTAATATTTATGTTTCTAATTGGATACATGTCTTTTGGCCAATTGGGCTATACCTTTTTGTACACGCTCGTTTTGTTTTAGTCCTAATAAAATACATTTATTTAGCATTACAGTTGTATTATGCATAAACTTTTCAAATAAAAGCGGTACTGCAAATGTACACATAAATAATGTTGGGAAATTGCTAAGGCAAATAATATCCATAATATTTTTTTTACAGAAAAGATACTCTGTGCGATATTAGACATAGACAAAAATGACAGTGACATTCGACTGAATGAATGTCGCGTTAACAGTGTGGTCATCATGTTATCGTATTTTGGTCTAAGTAAAATTTTAGAAGTGGCCTCGGTAAATGTTTAAATAAAACCAGTATTATTGATTGTTTGTTATCTATTTATTTATTCTTACACTTACTCCGAAAATACAAAACGACTGCTGTACCACCAGCTAGACGGAAAAAAATGCAATATATCCCTATATTACAAATCAGTTAGCCTTCTCATTTTAATATACATACACTGTCTCGTGTCTGGGGTCATCTGGTGGCTCTAATGAAAAACAACGCTGAGCCGCTAAGACAACAAAACATATGTTTGTTATAATTGTTCACATTATATTTACCACGATAAAAGTATATTCATAGATTGGTGAATATTTAAAAAAAAAAACTTATGAGTTTTAATTTGTGAGTTAATGTACGGAGGAGGAGATTGTTAGTAGTGGGGATTAGTGACCCCATTGTTAGCAATGTAACATGTCTGGTCCATCTCTACGAAATCTGTCCTGCAAACCATTGTGGTTAGTTCCTGATGAATTAGCGCCTTGGTTCCTCTTTTTATTGATGTCCTCCTAGCGTAACAGCGCAGGCGGGTGAAACATTAATTATCATCGTGTTTAATTTAACGTGAAATTGCCACAATAGGTTGCTGAACTGAATTCTTCATAAACTAATCGTCTTTCACACTAGTGGGCTAGTGTGTATATCTAGCGTCACTATTCCATATTAATTTATCCATACAAAAAATATGAGGCGATTATTATAAACCGATTTGAACTTAGATTCAAGATATGAGTGCATATTTTTTCTGTTCACATTGGTTTTTAGAACCGATAGGGGTATTTTTCCATATAATTTTTGGAGTAAATTGTATGAGTATGAAAATAATTTACTTGTTATGACAAAATTTTGAATGTTGTCCATACTTCCTTTAGTTTCAGGAATACATAACTAGTCAATCGTAATAAGATTATAATCAACAGTTTCATTATATTGGATGACAAAACATTGTATTCTTGTTTGTTCACCAATTTTATATGTAGTACAACTACAAAGATGGCGACAAACTATACGCTACGACGTTTTTCCATTATGATTTAATTACCGTGATAATCGTATGACGGGAAAGACGTCCCCTATTACTGCTAAATTATTACATCAGTGAGAGAAACCACTTAGTATCAAGAGGTTGATAGGCGATAACTTGCTATCGAAAACATTCGTTGCTGACGTATTAAATAACCGGCTGCCGGCTACATTCATGCACATAACAAATATGTAGTACGGTTCATTTTGCGATACAGGACACTCGTGTTTGGTAAATTTCGCTTTTATCCCTCGTATTTAATCATGCCTAAAGTATACAATTTTGGTGCCGGGCCGGCAAAAATGCCAGAAGAAGTAAGTTACATATCTTATTTATTTGAACCGTGAATTAATTTAAAACATTTATTTAATAGGAGCAATGAATGTGACCATGCACAATGTTGACCCGAATGCTACATCTCAGAACAACAAATTACTTATTGTAGGTGTACGAGATCATACGGAACGAGTTCACGAATTTTGAAGGCTCTGGAATAAGTCTTTTAGAAACAAGTCACCGTTCCAGTACATATTTAAAACTCAATAAAGAAGTTCAAGATGTTGTAAGAAGATTATTGTAAGTGGGTTTTAATTACTTTAATAATATTTAAAAATTCGAATCGAATGTAATATGTTGTTAATTAACAGTCTTTTAAATTCTGGTATTTATATAAAATTTTTGATTCTATACGATAAATTAATAAGTAGGTAGCTATAATTTTTAAATGGAAGTAGTATAGTAGGAGATCTCGTGGCATCTGCAAGGGTACGCGGCGATATCCTGTTGAATATTCAAAAACTATACATTTATATTTTTGAAATTGTGTGTGTATTTTTTATGATAGTAAGTTACTAGTAGTAGTAACTTAGTTAGTAGTAGTGGTAGTAGGGATGTTTGTAGGTAAGTTTTTTTATACTTCTACATAATTAAGTTACGATTTTTAGGGATTTTGCTGGCTTAGAACGAAATTTTAAAATTGGCTGTGGTGAAGAGAACAGAGCATAAAGCGTATTGGTTAAATGATTGACTAATGCAACATTACTAATGTGTGATTGTGGGTTTTGTTCTCATTACTTATTTTTCCTAATTCAACATTTTTGACACGGTTAATATAATATATATAATAATAAAAGAGATAGTAGACTCCCGATCAATTGTCTGACTCAATTTAGGCTAGTGCAATGTTACCAAGTATCTAATGTATTGTTCGTGTATAAAATTTCTCTGACTACCGTCTTTGTATTTTGTTTTTTTCAGAAATGTACCACAAAATTACAAGATTCTATTCTTGGCCGGTGGGGGACAAGGAGAGTTTGCGGCTGTTCCGCTGAACTTAATTTCACGTACAGGAACTGCCGATTATGTTGTCACTGGTGAGTCAATCTTCATTATGGGTGTAGGTAGTTAGACACATTTTGAAAGCATTAAATATTATATCAATCCATCTGCATGTCTATAACATATAATATTATGTGATGTTATGTGATTGAATGTTATGTGAAATATAATCCTCTTAAATGATTTTTTTTTAAGAGGTTTTATTATTAGGTATATTTATTTTAAACAGGTGCGTGGTCTGCTAAAGCTGCGAAAGAAGCTAAGAAATATGGAAAAGTGAACTTAGTTATACCACCAACAGATCGGTATGTAGACGTTCCTGACCAATCAAAATGGAATTTAGACCCAAATGCGTCCTACGTTCATATTTGCACAAATGAGACTATACATGGTAATTATTATAAAACACACCTTATATGTGTTTATAATAAAGCCTAATTATAAAATATTGCTAATTGTTTTACAATATTTACAGGAATTGAATTTGATTTTATTCCGGATACAAAAGGAGTGCCGCTGGTTGCTGATATGTCTTCAAATTTTATGTCGAAAAACGTTGATGTTTCTAAGGTATTTAAGTATATTTTTTACAGTACCTAATTGACGGCAAATAGATACCTACACTCGTTTATGCATTCCTGGAGACCAACATTTGACGTAGGTCAAATAGTATTTTCTTTATTTTGTTATATTACGTAGATATATCGTCAAAGAATCTTCTTAAAGTAGGGATTCACTTAAATTATGTTATTTTTTATGGAGTAGACTCACCTACTTGCCTAATATAAAACATGATTCTGTTTTCTAGTTTGGTGTAATATATGGTGGTGCACAGAAAAATATAGGAACATCAGGTGTAGCTCTAGTAATAATTAGAGAAGATCTTCTTAATCAAGCTTTACCGATATGCCCGTCGATTTTAGACTGGACGATAAATGCCAAAAATGACTCCATACTTAACACACCTCCTATGTTTGCGTAAGTTGTTATCATATTTGTTATTTGTCAATGATGATATTTATACTGACTCGGAATAATAATTATTGTTGTTGACCTGTTTTATTAAACAGAGATTATGGTGTTGATAGACAAACAACATATATTGAAAGTGATAATATTAATAGTTCTTACAATGTAAAACGAGAGAGAGACACTGATAAGTTTTTGTCGTTGGATCTAAATTCAAAGAGACCGCGACCAGAGAAATATGGGCCTGTCAATTATGGTCTCCATCATGACGTCAAAAGGTCACACTTCCTCTGGGAAAATAGTCGTGAAGAAAAATAATAATTATGTTAATGGGCTTCAATTATAAACTGAAACTTTTCTCTCGATTCAATCAATTTTGACAAGACGATGCCTGATTGATGGTGGTAGTGTTAAATTTTGGATTGAATTTCCTTCTTTGTGCTTAATTATGCCGCGAATTCGAATATGAAAAAGTGGTTGTAAAAATACATATAAAAAAGAAAAATGTTTCAGCAAATGCAAAGTTTCAGCAAACAACTACCTTATCAATGACTAATCATACTCGTATATTTGTTAGGAAGATTATATTTGCTCAGATTTAGGTAGGTATATAGCGCATCGGTGACAGTGTAAATAGGCCATCAAATTTCTAAAACTAATTTTTGAACACTTAAATATTGACAAACATGCGTATATTTTAAATTAAAATTAATACTTTATTGATAACTTTCTGCTTTATTATAGCATCTACATAATGGGTAGAGTTCTGCAATGGATCGAGAGGCAAGGAGGTCTCGATGTAATGGCTGATTTAGCAACAAAGAAATCATCGCTTATATATAACATTATAGAGGAATCCAATGGTTTCTACTATGCGCCAGTAGCTAAGAATGTCAGGAGTAAGATGAATATACCATTCAGGATTGGTTCCACTGATGGCAATGATACTTTAGAAAAAGAGTTTTTGAAAGGTGCCGAGGCATTAGGCTTGATACAACTTAAAGGTCACAGGTTAGTATAATTTTAATTTATTGTTTGTAATACTGTTCTATTTATGACCTTTTATTTTATAATTGACGGCTTATCTTATTACCTTCAAATAGTAGCCGGGTCGAAAATGGTTGTCTCGGTTTTGTAAGCGCAATTTAGGAAACGGACGTTCCAAAATGGGCACATCTCTGGGTGTTCTGGGTTGTGTTCTAATTTATTCCGTTATCTGATTATAGTTTAAGATTGTTACACATGTGAAAAGGATGTTTAGAATAGACTTGAATGTTTATATTAAGACAATATCCTGGATTATGATGTATTTTATATTTATACCACTACACTTGGATTGAATGTTTAAATCTGAATTGTTTTAAACATTATATTTTTATGATAAAAAGGCATTTTAAGATAGCTTATACTAAGATCACAGGGAAATTGAGTAGATATTTTTTATCCACGTTTTATAATTGTAATACATTTATATATTTATTTAACGTTACCCGTGACTTCGTCTGTATAAACTTTCTATCTCTATTTCACTCGCGCCCAGGTAGTCTGATTTATTTGAGATACGATATATCCATTCTTATAATACAGTCTATCTTCGAAGCAAATTTCATTAAAATTCGTTCAGTCGTTTAATCTATATTAGATATCAAACAGACTCGTATTGCGGTTTTATATATTAAGTATTTATTTATATAAAGAAAGAAAAAATATAACTTTCTAGAACTATGGTTTATATTATAGTTATGGTTTCTTTCGCGTTTAATTAACAAGTGGATTCAGTCCTTGGTCTAGCAAGTATTGGCACGTTTGTGGAATTTTAATAACTTTATATTTTTTACAGAGATGTCGGTGGTATCCGTGCCTCAACTTATAATGCTGTTACTTTGGAAGAAGTAGAGACTTTGGCCAATTATATGAAAGACTTTTACAAAAAACATTCAAAGTAGAATTTTTTTATTAAGTTAGTTTATATTTCAAAATTATATAATTTTATTTTTAAAATGCATTATTATTAAGTGTCAATTATTACGGCTGTGTATATTTGATGAAAATAAAATAAAAGCACTCCATTGATAGTTTTTTACTTTAACACGTAAATGATATAGGCTTTTGACTGTAATCAGAGACATTGTCTACTGTTGCAGTTGTTTTACGTATACATTATCGGGTGTAGTGTACGGCAGAAGTATCAGCTGTTCATTTTCAGGTAGGAAAAACTGTAGTATACTGTATACTACTACTACCCTCGCTTATAAATCTTAAAATCAAACAAATATTTGTGTTTGCTGTCGCCATATAAAAGTGACATAAAACAATATTTTCTTAATGAACATTTTATTAGATACGTTTAGTAATTTTATTATAATAACATATGTTATTTATATGCATAATCTTATCTTTTTTAGTAGCTAATTGCTAGCTGTGTATATTAAATTAGAATTCTATATTGGTTGCTAACCAAACCAGCTTACATAACTATAAGTTCTTTTAATTAGTAATTTATAAATAATGTTTTGAATGAGTATCAAATCATTGCAGTGAGAAGAAACAACTGTAGGTATGCTTTTAGGTTGCGAACATAATTTTACTTGTTTGTTGGAAATCTACAGGGCTCTGGAATCTTTATGTTTAGTTCAAATTAATAAGAATAAGAAATTTATATTATTGTTGGTGTCATGTAGTCAAGTATATGTAAGGGCAGACTGTGTTTTAGTTTTTTGTTTTCATTGACGTCATATTTGTGTTTTAATACACTTGCATTAATTTCATACAATTAAATATTTTTATACGGCCACGTCATAGATATATGGTAAACAGACAGTTGTATAAATATACAGTCAAATAATACATACATATCGCTACGTATCGCGTTGGGAGCGATTGTAATGTCAAATGTCCTCGGTTATTTTGTTATTATCGAATTCAATTGAAAGGTATACATTTATGAGTTCATTTTAAATTTGTGTTACACAATGTATTATCTACTAAGGAGATATATACAGTTGTTCTATATCGTGACTCCCGATTTTGCACCGCGGATGCATTACTAATATTTGAATTTCTCGGATTCTTCTATACTATAATACGCATGTAATACTACATATAAACCCTCCCCTTGAATCACTCTATCTACTGTAAACACTGCATTAAAACCCGTTGCGTAATTTAAAAGGTAGCAAACAGACAGCGAAAGCCACTTCTTTTTATACTATGTAAGTATGGGAATTTAGATGATATACCTTTTTTACATAGATGATTATGGAATGGTGCATCCGCCTGCGCTAACGCGGGAGATGCACCGGTGTAGGATAATAATATAAATATGAAGTCAGGCGAGTTAGTGCATCGTAGGTAATAGACTTAAATCGACCACATTAGTTTCCAATGTGACTGCGCCGAGGTCGATCTGACTTGGTGCATAACATTATGGCCACTATCCTGTTACTAATAATGATTCCCCGTCATGATATACCTAATAAGGTATCTATTTTGTAAATTTATGTTGAATGCAAATTAATAAAAACTTCCATGCAGGAGATAAAAATATTTCGCAACATCAAATGCATATTATGAAGTACTCATAATGTATAAAATCTATTATTGGCTGTTGTGTATTCAGAGCCATAAAAATATGTGTCTATGGTTATGATTAATTACTTGGTCTATGGTCTGTCTGTGTGTCGAGTCGAGTCATGTAACAAAGGGTTGTCGTGTTAACTATAAGTAATATAAATATATAATAAAAGTCATAAATAATACATCTGCAGTATTATTAATAATATACACCGAATTGAGCAACGAGCAAACACGAAATTGGCAAGATTACTTTTAAAGTATTCTTTGAAAAATATTGAAATTGAAAATTACTGAAATGATTTTGAAACTTATAAATTAAGTGAACGTTGCAAGGACGAATTCTTTTATACCTACGATCGTTCTGACGGGATGTATGTATGTTTATACTGATATGAAGACAGATTCACTTGCACATGCAGATGTACCCACCTATTAAATATTCTAAATAGGCTCAGATTAAGTGCACTATACCTACCTATTACGTCTACTAATGTGCTTCTGTAGTGCGCATTGTTATCTGTAAATACTGAGTATGTCAGTAGATTAGGAAGGATGGGAATGTCATTGAAGGGTAAGGAGAAAAAGTTGTTTGTATTGGAAATAGGTAATAATTACTTATTATTGCACACACTAAGCAAGTATGGAAAAGATACAAAATATAAATATAAAAAAAAAAGATTTAAAAATACGCATAAAATTTATTATTTCATTATTTTCTTTGTAAAAATAGTATTGTTAACATAATCACTAATGTGGTAATAAATTGTGATGGAATAAGACCACTCACGAGTATGAGTATTGATTTATGTTTTAGTGTATACAAAACGCAAGAGTAAATAATATCTGTCATACATACATCGTCCAAATTAATACAACTTTATATGTACTTTTGGTCATTTTAAATAAATTAATAACTATTAAGTATAGAAGTCTTATTATTTTAATACAAAAGTTCTGATATGATACATTATGCAACTATTCATTTTCCTATCACGAAAGTAACATACAGTCATACTACTCACAATATACATCCATTCAAACATACATGTAAAATTGTAAAGATTAAAAAATACAGTTCTGTTTATAATACAAAATTATGGACTTGACATTCAACTAAGTCAAATAATCATTTTGTCGTAGTATTAACCGGATACTAAACAGAGTGAAATTTAAGTTGTACATTTACATCATGTATTGAATCTTACTCGTCTTTAATGACAAATTTAATATTAAAATAAATAGGTATAGGAAGAATAAAATAAATATCATACTTGATTTTAATGAAATATTAAAGAAAGTAAAGAGCTTTACTCAGTGTAAACTGAAAAACAAATGTAATGAAATCATTCATGAGATGAATGGTTGTGGAAGGGGTAATATTAAGTGCAAAGTATGAATACTTCATAAATTTAATTCTGTATCTAGTACATTATCGTGTATAGATGTTTATATAAGTATTTTAATTTCACCCTGTTTAAAATTATATGACTAATTAACTATACGTATTATTACGTACTTATTTAAAATCTAGTGATACAAAAACTTAATTTTACATAAACGATTAATACTAACGCCACAACGACTATCAACATCTTCCGCAAAAGACAAAATATACAAGTATTATAATAATATTAATATTTACAGAACATTTATTGGAATGTCGTTGTAATGAAGGTACAATTGAATATCTATACATATTACAATTTTGCAACGCCCTGCTTTCTGATATGGCATTATTAGCCTAAAATACTTATTTGAGCATTTCATTCGTTGATAATCATAAGAACATCAACACATTCACTGTTTTATACAAAATATTCGTATAATCTTCTCTTTGTATTTCTTAATTATGTTGTTAAATTGAATTGTGACAGAGTTTTAAAAATATATTTGGTGGGGCTGTGACGATTAAACAGTGAGTGTGTTAATACACATTCGTCATAAAATATAACCTATTTCTTAATAATAAAGCTAAAAGAATACAAAATTCCACATTAACATACATGGGAACCGTTTGTTATTGTAGAGCAACACAATTGGTCACATTACCTATACAGATATACATAAATTCAATAATATTGACTATTATTGTTCGGGTACTCGTTCTAGAGTACCAAATTGAAACTAGTACGATTTAGAATTATGTAAGATATGACCAGAATACGATACATCGCAGTCCTTAATATTACTGACCTTCACTGTCGCTGTCACTTTTATCTGAAATGATAGAGAGCTTGCATTAGATTACATCAATCATTAAATTGTTGTTATCGAGCTCTTAAGGGTTGAAAGGTTTTGTGGTTGTTAATGTCCTTATCTAATTATTATTTTCTTAAATAACTAAGATACTAATACGAACTACAGACGGCAAATTTGACATGTAAGAGTCTGTAATAAGCCTACATCAATAACGATATTTTGATTTGAATTGAGAAATATATTGAGGCAGATACATTATTAATATAATAATTAATACTCATTATATACTATTATAGGTCTAAATATAGATAAAGATTGAAACAGTGATACTATAGTGCAATAGATACCGGTCATTAATAGAAAATGGGAGAAACGGTAATTGTTTAAAAAATATAACAATTCTATAATTTTATTACAAAGAAAGGTGATTGACGTCGCCTGTCTTATGGGTAGCATTCTCTAAAGGAGTTGAATAATAATAAATATATATTTTATCATTTACAATTCACTGATGCTTATTTATGGATTATTTGTCTTTATATTGGTGTCAATATTAGCAGAAGCATCTACTGATAAGAAAACAGTATTTACAAAACTTAGTTTCGTGCAATTTGCTGCTGTAAAAATATAAAGTGCGCACTAATCTATGTGCTGCTTAGTAATACTGACCTTTCTTACCCGGATACGCGTGTCTCTTTAGCCTATCGTACAGATCATCCTTGGTGCCATATATACTAGCGTTGGATCGTGCTAAACTATTCATCTTTCCATTCATTCCGTTGTGTAAACTCTCTTTCATGTATGTCTCGTTGTAGAAATTGGGCATCTCCCAACCGTCTTCCTCGTCGTCGTAATAATGGGCGTATGTGGAATGATGCGAAGGTGCAATAGACTCCGCGTATGGAGTATGCGCTCCGTAGTAGAAGTTCACTTGGGAACCGTTTTGATCTATAGCTGGTGTTAATGTTTTCTTTGGTTCCTTCTTCTTTGTTGATCTGTGGAAATAATTCAATGTCACTAATCTATAATTATATTTATTAACACTTCGTCTGTGTTTTACTATGTAGTCGCATTTCGAATATTTAAGCCGAAAATTTAAACAAATGTTCCTTGGGGCCTATCATTATGTCTTTTCGTGTTATAGTCAAGGACGTGTCGCTAGTTTTTATTATTTTTATTATAATAGTGTTTTCTACATGATTTATAAGAAAAAGCTAATCAGAACTCTATTCATTTTGCTGCAGGATAGTAAATTAATTGATTACTTAAGTTTTTTACAGTATACAAATTAGAAGAGACCTGCGAGTAGCAAAAAGTCTAGTTTTGCACGCATCTCTAGATTAGACGTCATATATAAATCTTATATATAAAATAAAATAATGGCGTCATGGCTGTTATTCGAAATAGGATAGTTAGAGGCATTATCAGTTCTTGATGTGTGCTGAACGTAACAGTTAATATTATCACATTTCACTGGGTACGTATATTATATATATATATATAGATTTGGGCAAGCCTACCGTCGTATCTCGGACAATTTTTTTAGCATGATGTTAGTGTTTTTTTCACTGCAGTCAGAAATATAAATTCACACGTTTTTCGTGTACGTATTTAAGTCCCGACCTCTTAGGTGGAAGTCGGGACATAAACTAGGTACTAATGCACTGTCTCTAATTTCATTATTCATTGATATCTTTTGGAAAACTTCGTTATGCCAGAAAGATCCTCCTCACTACACTAATAGGTTAAGTTCTCATTTCTTAAATATTCTGACTGGAATATTATTTCGATTATGGATCTGAAAGCGGTATCACGGGCGCACAAACACACCGTTAATTCCGAGAAAGTCGGTCACGTTGTTTAGATGAGAGAAGTGGAAAAGCAGTCAGAAGAAAACAGAGATTTGGTTTCGTATATTATAGATATACTCACCTAGCGCAAATCATCCAGACTAATAATACGAGGAATATAATGAATATAACGCCGCCGGCAACCCCACTTGCTATGTAGGCGAACTCGCTCTTGTCTCTGCAATGCCGGCCGGTGAATGAACCTGTGCAGCGGCAGGATGGCTCCTTACGTGCATCCTTTACACATTCACCACCGTTGTCACAGAAGTTATCGCATACATCTGTAAAATAAATACATTTCATTGTTTTCACTTTATAATGTCTTCATACATACAATGATAAAATTATAGTTTCAATATTTTTTAAAATCAAATTATGTAATATTTCTGTAGTTAATCAAAATTATTCAAATTCTACATTCTTTGGAGTTCTCTTGGTAGAAAACACGAAGAGTATTCTTTATTTTTTATACAGGAGTTGCATAAAATTATACCATGTAATATTGAGGTATGATCCTGTAATAACAAGAAGGAACGTTATAAAAATGAGGACGACTCTTTTAGCTTGGTATGAAGTTACAGTTTAGAAAAGATTAGGTACTCTTGGTATATTTCTCAGTGGCAATACTATTCAATTGTACCATTGGGCCGCTCTGGTTGCTGAGGTTGAACTGCAGATCTTGGGTTGATTCAAGTGATGTGATGATAGAAATTTTTCGTGCCATGATGAACTTCAACTTACCTATACAAACTTTCCCGGTGCCGTTGAAGCCGGGTTTGCATTGGCACTTAAATTCGTTGTCCGGCATGAGAAGGCAGTACGCATTTACATCGCAGTGCATCTCGGGTCCACTCATCTCGCAAGGGTTAGTGCATTGAGATTCGGATGTCTATAAAATGAAGGACGTCATATTAAAGATTATAATACACATAGCATTAATGACAAATATTATGTTCATTATTTGACGGCGTTGGTGGGCTAGTTGTTTAACAGACCGTCTCATTTCTGATGGTCCGGGGTTCGATTCGAATTCGAATTTTGATTGTGCTTTATCAATATAAATTATGTTTATTTACAAAAAAATCTTATCTAATACCCACATTCAAATGACTGTAGTTCTCTCTTTGGTACCGCTATAGTTAAAATTATAGTAATAGTGGTACGTCATTAACATAACTTAATTTTCACTTTTGCGAAAAAATATTCTATAACTTACTGCGCCGGATTCCCTTGTGCTGGTATTGATAGGGCACGGTACACAAGCAGTCTGTTGGGCCTCTGATTGGTACATGCCCTTCTTGCACTGTATGCACGAGTTCAATGTTACATTGAGGTATGATCCTGTAATAACAAGAAGGAATATTAGAATATTAAAGGATATCTGTAGACGACTTTAGCTTCGTATAAAATTACAGGATAAGAGCGTGACATCTCAGTTTGCTATATTGCAACACATGAGTGGTATCACGACTGTCTATGTATATAGGTGACGGTTAACGCATACCATCAGCCTGTTCGCCATTCCAATTACATAAACAAGTGTAATAGAAATTAATTTACATTTTCTAGACAACCTACATTATCTAGACACCTTTATTTCCAGAATAGAATAATATGAAAATATAGGCCTTGATATAAACCATTATTATGTTACTAATGAGCACGAGTCTAGCCTCGTAACAGGAGGATTTATTGTACTACTACCACGCTAGCCAGGTGGCTTGGTAATTTAAATATTTGTAGTTTTAGTGTAAAATTTCCTTCTTTTGCGTCTATGTATTTGTGGTATAATTCTGTGGTCTCGTATAAAACATGCATGAAACCTTAAATTTTCAACTCTCATACCATTAACCTCTATTTTTAATAATGATATTAGTACTTTAATTTACATGACCAACAATGTTTTCCGGATCTAACTAGTAATTTATAAATATTTATTTGAATTTGCGTGTTCTATGTCATACTCTCTCAATGGTTCGTTGCTTATTTCCCCTTTGTAATTCAAACGTTTGTTCATCCATCTAATTGAGAGATTAAAAAGTCACAAATATATAATATTTGAAGCGTCAATTACCAGCTTTGCAGACAGGCAAAGAGCATTGATCAGCAGAAGCAGCACCAGCCTGCGGCGTGGTGGTCCCGGGCGGGCACGGCGCACATGCAGCGCCGGCTCCATTGGCACGCCAAGTACCGCGCGGACACGCCTCACAGCCGCCGTCGCTGCTTAATTGTTCACCTAATAGTAATATAATTCCAATTTTAATATTATCAATTTAAATTAATCAAATCAAAATACTTTTATACTTGTTGGTCTAATTGCAGACACGTCGGTTCTGAAAGTAGATCGACCCATGAAGAACTAAGAAGAAACTGTATCCTCACTCTTTTCAAATGCTGTAGTACATCATTCTAAGAATCATTACATAGTATAAAACAAAGTCGCTGTCGCTGTCTGTCCCTATGTAGATATAGTTACTTTTAAACTTTCGTGTTTAATATACATTATTTAAATAATTAACGGAGTCTTAAAACGTCAAGAGAGGTAAATACTTTTATTTGCCATAAATTAATTAACCCGGTTAATAATTTAAATAATGTCCCTATGTATGCTAACTACGCAACGGATTTCGATGCGGTTTTTTTAATATATAATTCTAGAGAAAGGTTTATATATTAATACACGTACACCCGGGCGAAGCCGGGGCGGGTAGCTAATATACATAATTATTAAAGTTTGAGTAAATTATATTTATGTATAGAGTACACCGATAGAAGCCTGTATTGTATAGTTATATAAAACAACTTGGGTTCAAGACGAAGAAGTTGTTGAAACAAATATTAGGTTATATATATTATAGTTACAATAAGTAGGTTTTAAAAACATCACATGTACTTTTCGTACAGGTAATAGTTATCATTTTTATTCAGGTATATATTTACCAGAAGGACAATCGTCACGGCATTCAGCAGTGGATACTGCTTCTGTAGCCCTTGTGGTTTGTCCTCGAGGACATGCGACGCATGAGAAAGCACCTTCTTTAGGCTGATAAGATCCATGTCCACATGGCCTGCATAACTCCGCTTCAGCGTCATAGAATTTACCCGCTGCGCAACGCTCTACAGCAAAAGGATAACACATTACAATGGAATTATGACACATATGAATATTTTATTACATACATATATATATATCGTGTTAAAAAAGAAATTAAAAAACAAAAGGCAAAATTTAATCTGTTTAACAAACAAGGGTCTACATATAATTCAAGCTATGAAATAGAAGAAACGTATGTTGAATAATGATTACATGAAAACAATAATTTATCTATATATTAGGTAAAGTAGTATATATGCTCAATCCGACTCTGAAGAAGCAACTCTTCAATTTCTTTATCAGATCTTTATATTATACAGAGTACTGAAAAAGTGTATTTGATATTAGATTATTGAAGTTGGTGTACCTTTACAATCGCCCGCGCTTCGTGCTCCGGTAGTTTGGGTTACTCCAGGTTGTCCTGCAATGGCAGGGCAGGCGGTACATTGTAGCTGACCGGCCTCAGATTGATAAGTTCCAGAGGGACATGGTTTGCAAGTGTCACTTGCGGTGTCTAAGTATGTACCCACCGCGCAAGCAACTGTCAATAAAGAAATATTATTATTAACTTTTAAATGTTAACGGAGTGCGGATCATCATGCAAATAATATAACTTTGTACAAAGTCATATTCTTCGCTAAAAATTGTGCTTAGAATATAAATAATGTGAGCAGTTAAGATAACAGACAGGTGACAGGTAATACCAGTTACATACCACAATCTGGTGCCATGACAACTTGTCCCATAGGGCAGGCATAATCAGAAACTAACTCCAAGCTCGCCGGGTCGGGAACAGTGTTCGGAAGAATATTTCGCACGTCGAATTGTTCGTCTTCGAGAATAAGTTTTTCCAGTAATTTTTGAACAGTTGAACGTTCATTGGTACCGCTATGAATTACTGGGTCACTGAAATTATAATAAAATTTAGTTAATTTTAATATTTTCTAGCTGACCGCACAACCTTTTTTGCATCATATTTTCCGCGTTATTGCAACATTATTCATTGCAGCTCCGCTCTTATTGAACGTGATGCCTAGCCTACAGCTTTCCTCGATAAATGGGCTATACAACACTAAGTTTTCAAAATCTGATCAGTTACTAGTATACAAACAGACCTTTTTATATTATTAGTGTAGATTCAAAATATTAAAATTTGTTTTAAAAAAATATATTAGTAGATAACAAAATTTTATAAACGATAAGACTATTTGAAAATGTCTTAATATTTCTTACATCTAGGAGAAATTGTGTAAATTCCACTTATGAACATGCAAACTTACTTGACAGCCGGGAATGAGATTTCGACGCTGTACGTATCACCTACTTGTCTTCCCTCCCTACTGCTTCGTGTCCTAAGTGCCAGATAAAAGAACATGCAATCGTGTTGGAAAGTGACATGCCATGTATATCTAAAGTACTTTACGAATAAATACCAACAGTGCTACAGAAACAACGGATTAGATTTTACTTATTGTTTTCAGAAATGTTCTTTATTAAATGTGCTTTACTAAAACAGACATTTGTTTATTGCAATACATGCTTCTAAATGTGCACTACAGAAATATAATTTCCTTAATCTGCATAACTAAATGTCGTGCTGTGTTCCCACACCGTTCACCACTACTTAAACTGCGACTATCGGTCTTAAAGCCGAATAACAAAAATACTGTCATGTTTTAAGATAATATTTTACTTTAATCTCTACTAGTGGTTAAAATTATTAAGTGTTAACACTCACTCGTCTACTGGTATAATTGCGTCCAAAACATATGTGTCCTCTGTAGGGGCGGATGTAGGCACCACTTGTCGTTTTTGTCTTACGTTAGCACGGTGGTCACATTTCACATTGATATCAAATTCTTTACATTCCCTGGTACCTGTTAAAAGATAAATAAACTTGTAATTATTAATTTAGTAATTGTAAAACATAACATAATAACATAAATGGAATTAAATTTAACTGACCTTCCGTGTCAAATAATATATTAAGTATTCTAAATTAACCGATTTTTAATGTCCTATGTTTTATCTTATTTATGCTCCTTGTATATAAATTTTATTCCACGCGTTTCTTTATATTTAATTTTATTACCTATCGTCTAGCGCCCAGGTATGCTGGGCGACACAGCGTAGGTACTTAACGATTAACAATTTAAATATTTTTAGGCTGTGTTACTTATCCTCGAAATAAACTGTTTGAAAATATTTAGAAATATAATCTCATACCTTCGATAGCGTATGAACAGAAGTTCCAATCTCTGTTTAATTGGTTTATGGCAGTTCGTACTTTTTGTCGTAATACACCTTGCCCTGCGTCGTTGCAAAGAACTGAACTTGGGAATAACATTGAGATTTTGAAGACGCGTTGAGCTGGTTGAGATGCTGTAAATAAAAAAATGCAGTTTATGTATATTAAAATTTAAATAAACCGTTCCTTTAATATAATTAGAACTTTTGTTTTTTTTTCTATTTACCTTTAACATTATTACTATGTAACTACTTTATAAGTAATATTTGTTTTCATTTAGTTCGGGAAGTCAAAAACAATGAACATTAATGTTTCAGACTACTAACTATAGAATTACTCCTATTTTTTTTTATTACAACAATATGTTTACTAATTTGATAATCATAATTTATAATAATTTAATATTCTTACGTGAACAAGCAGGGTAGACAAGTGGTAGACTTGGATCTCTAGTCGGTCTCCAGAAACCTTCAGCACCGCATGTGTAGAATGGAGGTACAGGTTGTGAGAATCTAAGGCCATCACGGCAAGCGATCTCGCAAACCTTGAATTGACCGCCTGCTCCCCAATCACGGCAGGATTGATAACCACCCAGTGGATCAGCTAACGGAGGGCAAAATTCAGCTGAAATAATAAAGAAGTCAGATTATCCGCTGTTCTATAAAAGTTTTTAATTACAGGGTAAAAATCAATAATTTCACTTACATAGTACAGTAACCTTGAAAGTGCATGTTGCAGCATTGCCTGCCGCATCATACGCAATGTAAGCAATATCGTATGCTCCCCAAGCGAGATTTTGACCAGGTTTATGGCCAGATTTTTCTACTATTTGACTAACTCCTACGTTATCGCTGAATACTGGAGCATCCCAACTGACTATTGAAGATCCGTTTTTGGCGATAACCCACAAATCTCCAGGGCATCTATCTACTTTTGGTGGTTCTTTGTCTACTTGTAGTTGTTGGCATTTACCGCCAGTATATCCGTTAGGACACACTCTTTGGCCACAGTGCGATGGAACTATTCTCTCAACACCTCCAATTAAGTCTTCATATCCTGCCCATGTTAATGCTAGTCCATTGTATAGAACAGGTTCACTCCTGCAATCTCGAACCTGTTTCTGAATCTCATTGGTAACATCAAGTGCCCGGTTCCATATTTGAACTTTAGTGAGATAACCTTGGAATCCAGATTCAGTGTATGCTTTAGGATTGTCAGATTGAGGTTTACCTAATGTTACCCAAACACTGAAAAATATTATTGGTTATGATATTGCTGTATAGAAATGAAACATGTTTTGTTAATATCATTCATTAGAATAAAGTACTACATAGTAAAACTTACTATTGTGGAAGTGTTCGTCCACTGCCATATCCGTCAATCTTACTGGCAATTAAACCTTCAGTGATAAGTGTAAGTTCGCCACCATTAGCGCCATCCCAGACTAGAGCAACGTGATGCCATTGGCCATCATTAACAGTAGCAAATTCACCGAAACTTAGATAAACATCTTGCAGTTCAGGGAACAAAGATACTTGAACACCGTTAGAATGTGCTTGTATTATAATTCTTCTGTTCAGAGCAATATGTGAATTACTGAAATGAAGTAGAACTATGTTAGTGCACTAAATACTATTCAATAACATCTATTGATTTTTACCTCGATATTATGTATGTTAGAACCTTATTAGATTAAATTATATTATTACCTGACGCTGTAGGCTGTAAAGAATATGCCACCTTCATCTTGTTGTGTATACTGTACCCACATTGCGATAGTCAAACTGTTAGTTGAACCTGTGTCGAAGGGTACAACTTGTGCAGCACTGGACCTCAAAGGATCACTGAAGTAAAGATCATAGTCGACACTTATTGCTGAAATAAAATTAAAAATTTGAGTTTCTACATTTAATTATCCTTGTTGTAATTGTTAACTGATTAGATAGATCAAACATTAAAAAGCTATCAAAGTATATACAGATATATCTTTTAATTGCATAGCTTTCATGTAGTTATTTGAATTCAAAGGAACAAAGCTATGTAAAATTAATATTTTGTACATAATAAATATTATATATTATATAAAGTTATCGCAGCATTTATAAGAATTTATAAACTTTAAATGTAGTAGTAGGTACAAGTTTGTAGATTTTATGGCTCTTATCGTCTAATGATTAATTAATTGTAATTTATTACAAAAACTTACTTTTTCTACAATCGTCGCCAGTAAGATTGAATGGACACTGACAGTAGAATCTTCCTGGTAAATCAATGCAGGTAGCTGATGGTGGACACGAATTGTCCTTGCAATCAATGATATCTTCATCACAATTTTTTCCTTTGAAACCCGGTGCACAAGTGCAACTGTAATCTTCACCTTCATCTATACATGTTGCTCCATTTTGGCAGAGACCTGCATCACAGGCGTCAAATTCGTATTGACAACCAATACCAGTGTAGTCTGGAGAACATGTACAGTTAAGTCCGGAACCAAAATCTTGACACTTTCCACCATGCATGCAAGGACTTCCAATACACCTTTCAGGAGCAGTTTCGCATTGTTTTCCGTCCGTTCCGCTTGGGCAACTAAAAGATAAGTTAATTTTTAGCTCGTCACGGAATAAATTTATAATTTCTATAATAAATTGTAAATTACTTACACACAGAAGAAGTCTTGGAAAAGATCAATACATTTAGCATTATTTTGGCATGGCCTGTTCATACAATTGCCAATATCTTTTTCGCATCGTTTACCGGTCCATCCAGGTTGACAAACGCATCTATAGTCACCGATTTCATCCTTACAGGATCCACCATTAACACATGGATTTGAGAAACAGTCGTCAATATTAGTTTCACACATTTCCCCTGTGAAACCTTCTCGACATAAGCATTGGTATTTATTATCAAGATCTACACAGCGTTCGGTTCCTTGTGGGTTGCAAGGTTCCGTTAAACATTCGTCGATAGCTGTTTCACATTGTAGTCCAATAAAGCCGGGTCGACATCTGCATATAAAACCATCTATTTGGTCAATACAGGTGGCACTGTTTTGACACGGGTTCGAAGAACAATCGTCAATAGTATGCTGACATCTTTTTCCTGTATATCCGGCTTCGCAGTTGCATGTGAAATCATCAATACCATCAATACATTGGCCTCCGTTTTCACAAGGTGACATAACGCACTCATTAATATTAATATCACAAGAAGGTCCAGTCCATCCCGGATCACAAACGCATTGATGAACATACAGTTTATCCGTACAAATACCGTGTCTACATGGTTCGTTCGCACAAAGATCTATTTTTTCATGACAGCGTTTCCCTGAAAAACCTGGTGGACAAGCACAACTGAAGTCATTGACCAAATCTGTACAAGGGGCGCCAAGTAAGCATGGTTTTTCAATGCAGTCATCAGTGTTGATTTCACACTGTTGTCCTTCCCATCCTGGCAAACATTCGCATTTGTAACGTCCTTGTTGTAATGCAATACATGTTGCTCCATTTGTACATGGGTTACCATTAGCTGTGCATGGATCGACCTAAAATATATAACGATTTGTGTATAGTAATGAAAAAAATTTATATTGTGTACAAGTACCAAATATAATATATATAATATAAATATAATATATAGCTGTATATAGCTGGACTTACCGTAATATCGCAGTCTAAGCCCGTATATCCAGATCTACATAAACAAGTATAATTATCGAATCCAGGTTCATCTTTGCACATGGCTCGTTCAGGACATGTGTCATTTCTGCAATCAGATCTCTCTTCTTGACAATTAATGCCACCATATCCTGTCGGGCAGGAACATCTATAGCCTTGAGGAAGATCTATACAGGTACCGCTATTGTAACAAGGTTGGCTTGCACATTCATCTATATCTATTTCGCATCTGCGTCCTGAGAAACCAGCTGGGCAGTAACACTGAACACCGTGTCCTTTAGGAACACAAAGGCCCCCATGTTGGCAAGCACTGTTTGAGCATTCCACGGGAATACACTCTTCTAACGCTGTTGCTCCTGTGCCTACAGTTTTCATATTTGTTGGGCATTCCATACACATTGTTTGACCTATTAAATGTTGATAAAAGTTTCTGGGACACTGGGAACAAGGCGCCATACCAGTTGGAGAATATGTACCAGGAGCACATTTAGCTCTACATTTTTCTCTACCCGAAGCTGCTGGTTGATAAGTGTATGTATTAACAGGACACGCCTGACAATCTTTGAATCCTCCGGTTGGTGGTGCACCCGTGTAACTATTTCGTGGACATTCTAGACAAGGAACTAGGCCTGTTGGTGAGTAAGTACCGTATCCACACACTGGAATACAATCATATACATCTTTGGATCCTTCTTCTCTTGTAAATGTTCCTTGTGGACATTTTAGACAAGCACCCTGTCGAGCTTGATTTTGGAAGAATCCTCGTGGGCACATGGTACAAGACTTCTGTTTTTCTCCAGCGAAAGTACCAGCAGGGCAATGTACTGAAATAAATTTATTTAAATAACTAAATGCTGTATACAACAACAATATTAAATATAGTACAAATAAATAAAATACAGTAATAACTAAATTGTTTCATTCAAATAAATTTTGTTCAGGTTATATTAAATCAGGTAAACTTTGGACACTTCAATTCACAAACTAGATAATAATGTTTATAATAAATACTGCAATTTTAGAATTAATTACAGCAAACTTACAGCATCTAGGCACGTCGTTTGTATCCATATTCAGTACTTCACCTACACTACAAGTAAAACCTCTTGATATAGAACTCCTGATAGCTCGAAGTGGTGGACATTGATTTCCAATAGATGACACATTTAACAACGGTTCAATAAGTGCACTAGCATATGGCACAGACAGATCAAATATAAGGTTTAATGTTGAGCCACAAAGATCATATAGTTGTGTTTGTCTAATAGCCGGAGTAATTGCCAATACAAAGTCCATTCCAACAACATTTTCATCTAAAAGACTCGGCATCGCTTTTACAAATGTCACGTTAATGTTTACATTAACAGCTGAGCAACGTTGAGATAATCTTTCATTGAGAATGTTATCATACTGTGCCAGTAAGTCCTTGTATTGTGGTAAACAAGCATTCGATACTGCTCCTAATGCTCTATAGTTCACGTTAGCAACGACATGATAAGCGGCCTGTTGTGTATCTGAAAGTAAATAATAAATTAATGGTAGTAGGAAAATTCAGATATATTCAGAGTCTGTGCACATACAAGCAAGCGGATGAATTATCAGTTGTGAATAAAGATAGACGCCTATGGTTCTAGCTTTTGTTCTGACTCCCTGTAAGAGATCAGGAATTAAACATAGTTAAATAATAAACTATAAAAAATATTGAGAGCGTCTTGACCTAGTGATTTACTACCCTAACTTACACCTGTGATTGTGAGTTCAAATTTGGCCGTTATCAAAAAACTTTGTTCACGCTTTATATTTCTGACTAACTCTCCGTTGAAGGAAACACCGATAACAAAACGAAAGTAAACCACGCTAATGCTGGAGACGAGGGCATGCTTGTCTGCGATCATGTTGGATTTAAGAATATGCGCAGCAAAATATGTGCATGTGAATGGTCGCAGTCATCATGACGTCTCACTATTCCAACCGGAATAAAAGTTACAATAGGATATTTTTTTGAACTTTACTTACTTTCAGATACGCAGTCAGGGACAACAGCTGTCGGAGTCCATTGTCGTTTTGTTTCACAAATAAAGGTTTTGACTGGTTCACCATCAGTAAATCGAAAACCTGGACTGCAAGTTGCTATGCATTGAATTCCTCTGTCACCAGGGAGGCAGTTAAGTGCACCGTGTGCTGGAGGCATCAATTCCCAGTCTACACATGGTGTTGCTTGAACAGATACCTGTAAAATCACACCATAGTTATAATACACCTTGTTTGTATATTAAGTAGAAAATGAAATCGAAATCTTGCGTTAAGTAAAAAATAAAAATCTTTACCTGGAAATTACATTGAGCTTTGTTGCCATATTTGTCAGAAGCAATTACTGTTACGTTTTCATATCCCCGTATTGGTATTACAGCCCTCTCTGGAATAAACTTTAAGTAGACTTCACCTGATGCATCAGTAGCATTGATCTTTTTTCTAGTCTCATTGAAGTTAACGGCATAACTATCTTGTTTATCAACAAGTTCAATTACATAACTTTGTGGGCAACTTAGTTTTGGTGGAGTATAATCTGGTACAGTAATATTAATTTCGCAAATTGCGACATTTCCATCAAAGTCAAAAGCAACATATCGCACTACCATGTTGTGGAAAACTTGAATAGGGCTTCTAAAGTGCGCGGGTGTTACTTCTAGACGAGCAATAGCACCGGAATTATCAATAGCTGTGGGCTCGGTAAAGTTAATAGGAAGAAGTCCGCCGTTGACATCCGTTTGTACTACCAGAGGCTGTTGTGGACAATTTTGGAATATAGGTGGTTCATTATCTGAAAATAAAAATATTGTTTTGGTTTATGACCTTTAAAAGTAATACTATATATTTAATATTATAACTTATTTTTACAATGCTTACCAACACAAGGAGAATATCCATAGTCGTAACCAAGTAATGGTTCTGCTGCTGGTTCATCACAACCCATAAGCTCAAATTTTAGACAGGCATTATCCATAAAACTGACAATACCCAAAATAACAAATCTGGCTTGGACGTACTTGGGTAATGTAATCATTGCAAGTTCACCATAATTTCCAGGATCTCTCATTGTCAAATTAAAGTTAGGGAAGTATACAACATAGTTTTCTTTTTCTGATTGTTTATAAAAGAATCTGATTTCTGTAGGTCGACCTACAATATCAGAGGTGACTACTCCTTTTACTAAAATTGCTTTTACACGATACACTTTGCCTAAATCAACGCTTACATATGTGAATGGTTCTTGTTTACCACACCAACCAGTGACGGAATTTAGCCTGATGTTCCTCGCTTCATAATTAGGTCTTTCTGAGGTGGCATTAATAGCATTGTCTGGAATGCGCCCTGATGCTAATCCAAGTGGTTTGATAACTTTACATTCTGGTTCCCTAATACAGGTAATTGGTCTGGGGTTAATCAGTATGTATCCAGGCCTAGAGCACCCAAACAAAACTTCTGATCCTTGTTCATAACTTCTTGCTATTTGGAAACCATCAGCTGGCCTACCAGGATCTTCACACACTGGTCCCTCACACCTTAAATCACCAAAGTCCCAAATACCGTTTCCTTGGCATCTAACGACATTATCATGTTTACTGGTTTGTCCCGCAAGTTTGAATGTATTTTGACAACCAAAGAAGAAGGAGCTTTGATATCTTGTATCAAGATATTGCCCATATTCTGCACCAGGTGTTGGCATAGGTACGCCACAATCTTTTCTTGGACATTGCGGTTGTGCACCGGATAGCCAGTAATCCGGTAGACCCTAGAATCAATAAGTTATATTAACATATTTTTACAATTAGAATGGCCAAAAGCTGATATCAAGTCGTAGTATATAAAGTAGTCTTAAAATATAATATAGCTTATAATCCCATAATTAAATCAATACTAACCGGTTTGGGATCATAAACACACTGTCTAAAAGATGAAGTAAGTGTATTTCTTAATTCTCTTCCAGGTGCCGTACAAGTTATGGTAACGTTATCTCTATATGGTAATAATACACTTTCAGGGTCTTCTCTTATTATTCTTAGACCATCGTTTTTGTCATCAGATAAAGTAACACAGCGGGCATCTAAAATAAGTATAACATTATATAAAAGTTTTTGTTGCTTACGACAATATCAGGAATTTTTAGTAACTTCCACTACTCTGGTTTATTACAATTGAGACAACAATTGATTTCTTTATCTCAAATAGATATTTCTTTAATGTAATAATAAATAAATGTATTTAAGTAAATCTTTTTCTTACATTGACATTCCGGAGCTGTTCCATTCCATGTACCGCTTGAAGTGCAAAGCAAGGAAGCGAAACCGGACATGACGTAACCAAAATCACATTGGAATTGTACTATATCGCCAAAGTGGTACGTGTTTTTGGTAGATAGAATTTTACCGTTTTCAGGAGAAGTAAGTAAAGGACACATTATTGGTACACATGACTTGTTTTTTTGATAAGTGTCCCCATCTCTATCACCTGTTTCTGACAATACAATAGCAAATCCAGCTGTACCATTAGTGGAATATAGTTCATATCCTATATTACAGGCACAAGAAAAGTTTCCAGGGCTGAAAAACATAAATGAGTGAAGTTATTATAAAATAAATATAATTTAATAAGTAACTAAAAATGAGTTATCTTACGTAACCGTATTACTGAGTAGGTACTCACGTATTAATACATTTCTGATCGCAACCTCCATTATTCTCGCTGCACTCGTTTATGTCAGTGCAGTCTAATCTAGCACATCCCATAATTTCAAGTTTGAGACAAGGAGCCCCGACGTAGTCTTGTATTTTAAATTTAATGTATTGCGCTTCAATTGGCACTGGTAAGTTTAAAACGGATAAAGTAGGTTCCAATATGCGAAATTCAACTGCTGTTCCATCAGGATTAGTATAATCTTTGAAAGTATCAGTTAAATCATTAGTATATTGGATTCTTATAGCCGATGTGAATGCTATGTTGCCATCTGCACGCATAACGCTCATTGTTCTGAAGCCTCTAATAATGGTAGGTGCTCTCAAATCTATAAGGACCCAGTTGGCTCCAGCTTCTAAATTGTTACCACACCAACCACCTCCATTATTTAATCGGACCATCTGAAATAAATTAAGTATAGTATAATGTATAACATTATACATGACAGAGCTTTTGTTATCAAAATTTAGTGAAATCGAATTTGACAATTTACCCCTTTGTAATATCCTGATTCTGGAGTTGAAGTAGTAATAGATTCATCTGGAATAGCACCGTTGATCAATCCCAGATCACCAACTGGCCGGCATTCTAAACTTGGTGAGAATCCAGGTCGACAAGGGCAAAAGAAACCACCTTGAGTATTTTTACATTCCGTGGAAGCTGTATCACATTGATTGCTAAGGCATTCGTTAACATCATCACAAGTAGGTGCGTTATCAAATTCTTGATTAGGTCCACATTTTAATATACTGGGTCCATTGAGTTTATAACCTGTAAAATTTTATATTAATATTTATTTACAGTACAATATGTTAAAATTCTAATATCGATATACATTTTCCATAATTCTTAATAATTTGTCACTTAATGACTAAAAAAAATATAATTTAATTAAAAATAGTATTCAATAAAAATAACTAAAACATACCCTTGAAACATTGCACGCGAGCTTCGTCTCCAAACATGTATATTCTACTTTGATCAACAATGAAACCATTTTTAATTTCAGGGAATTTAGGGCATACTGCTTTCGAACACGTAGGCACTTCACCAGACCATGTACCATTACTCATACACAGTAAAACTGGTTGCCCTGAACGTACATATCCCGGCTCACATTCGTAACGGATAATGGTACCGTAACTACGACCGCCACCATTCAGTATAGTAACATTTGCATGTGGTACGTCAGGAAGAGCGACGCACTGGGATGCTGTAAAGAACAAATAATTATCGTATATTTAAATAACAATATAAAATAATGAAAAACTTGATCCAACAAATGTGTCGTAGTACCTACCAAGACAAGTAGGAGTCCTTTCCCATCGCCCGTCGGCGAGACAAGATATTTTTTCAATAGGTTGTCCAGTTGGAAAAGCGAATCCAGCATAACATTGATACGTAGCAACTCCACGATAAGTAACATTTGTAGAACCGATAGAAAATCCGTTATCGATTTGGGGAACGGGGCCACAGTAGACCTCTGAAAAATTAGAACATGAGTTTGATTAAGCCTTTATAAGAAACAGTAAAAAAGTAAACTAAAAAAGTGAACTTTTTTACTTACCTTGACAGCTAGGAATGTACGTTGTTGACCACTTGCCGCTACTAAGACATTGCGTTGTAATTCGGGGCTTACCAGTGGCAAATTCTTGGCCAATAGGACACGAGAATGTGCTTACTGTTCCAAAGGCAGTATCTCTGTTTGATGCCAAAGCACCTATGCCGGACTTTAATGTTGGACAATCTGAAAATTATTATAAATATACTATTATTAATATTATACCAAAGGATAAATTGAAAACCTTAATTATACAAACTTTTAATAATAAATATATTCAATATATGTAATATGTAATTTTAATCAGTTAGATTAAAATTTTCCATAGTAGAATATTAACACACACAGATATACTACTATGGAAAATTTTAATCAGTTAGATTAAAATTTACGGTCATTATTATATGTGTTATATGTACAATATATTATACATTATTTAAGTATGTATTACAAATACGAGTATGTATGTATTACCTGCCGAGAATGTAGCCTTCCATCCAGCACCATTATGTAAAGCATCAGATACAAATCGTATCAGCATTTCACCACTAGAAGCAGTTAATGTTATCCTAGGTTTAACAATAAATCCGTTTTCAGAATGTAGTCTCAAGCCACTTGTACTTGAGCCGTCAAATACTTGTACTACATCAGTTGAATGAATATTAAATTCATCGAATTTCAAAGAGAGGGGTCCTCCGTTGGGGTTTTTAATTCTGTATAAGCATTCTTGGTTATTAGGATAGTTGGTAAGACCGTAAGCAGGTGAAGTAAATGTTCCATTTGAAGCTATTATTGTTGCCCTGCAACCTTGTGAGTATCTCATACTAAATCCCTTTTTAGAATCACCGAGACTTGTTCTAAAGTACATGTAGAGATGATTTGTAGTTGAAATAACTACCTTTTGATTTTCTTCACCTGGTCCAGTTAATCTTGCCAGGACTGGACTTGATGGGCTATTTCCATCTTTTACTACAATATAATCTCTGTTCATTCCCAATTCTAGGTCTGCGATTTCTAGGGATACAATTCTACCTGGCTGAGCTTCAATTATATACATACATTCTAAACCTCCTGGGTAACCATTTGGATAACCTGGTGAAGTCAAGATTTGGCCTTGAGGTGTAGCCCTAAGAATGCCACCACAATTAGATGATTCAGTTTTCCAAGAGGCACGGAAACCTTTTCTTTCTACTGACCCGTCTGTACTAAATTTAATAATCATAAAGTTAGAAGCAGATACATAAAGCTTATTGGATAAGTCTTGTTTGCCTGATAACGTAGCTAGATTAACAGATTTGTCTTCGGTCCTGCCTCCTACTAAAATTTGAACAGTATCAAATGATTTTTCAGTTTCAAAATCTTGAAATTGTAGAACAATATTTTGACCTTGTGGCCCTTCGAGTGTCCATTTACATTCGCTAAATGCTGGATACTTGTGTGGATAATTTGGACTCTCTACTACGTCACCACTGCTGGCCATGTAGAAATGACATTCAGAAACACAATCCATTTCGTCGGACGCATCACCACAATCGTCTTGCTTGTCGCATTTGAAGGCTGCATTTATACATTTTCCGTTTGAACAATGGAAGGTTCCTAAAAGAAAAGAAAATATATAACCCATTGTTGAAACAACCTCAGCATTGACTTTAAACTTCCTTTAATGAATATTTAATTGTTTATGATTAATTTATATAGAATACATTTTTGAATAAATATTTGACGTTTACCAGCGGGACAGGCGTTAGCTCTGCACATGAAGGGCAGGAGAGTTTCACATGTGGTTAACTCCCATGATTGACTATCTGACGATACATGTACATCTACACATTCTCCGTCTTTGGGATTCGGTTGCCGTAGATCCCAGAAACCAGCATATTGCGATACTAAGGTACCAGCTGCTGACTCAAGTGTGTTGGTTCTAAGATCATCTACAGTTGCAAGTCCTAACCAATAATGGTTATTGCTTGGACTAGCAGGTACCATGCTAGCTGTCATATTGTTTTCTGTATACGTGTCTACTACCATTAATTCGCTGCCGTATCTGAAAACAAAAAATAGAATATATTACATAAAATTTTACGGTTCTATAGCATGGCTCACATAGTGATTTTCAATTTATAATTGATAGCAAAATAGTCTACTTTAATAATAAACAGAAATGTTATCAGATATTTTTTTATCATATCATCACACATTACTTTCACTGCAAGGTACTGAAAATTTGAAGCTAACATAACTTATACTATATAACAAGAAATTAAACAAATGCCGATTTGAATAATTATTCTCTAGGCAGGTAAAGCTGTAAATTCTTTGGGTATTAGCACCATTGTTTTCTACATTGGTCCCACCGCGACTCAAGTAAATTCATATTACTTGAGTCGCGGTGGGACCAATGATATTACTAATGACTAAATTAAATTAACTAAATTTAATTACCTTCGACATAGTTCGGCTGCTTTTTCCCAAGAATGTCTTATATTGAAGAATTTGTAACAGTGTAAACCTTTTAGTTCCCAACCTGCAACAAAAATAAAGAAAATAAATAATAGAAGAATGGAGAACTTTCCTGATCTACTGGGTATTTAAATAATAGTTTTTTTTTAAATAAATTCATTTATTCATTTATTTCAGGCAACTAGGCCCATATTATAAATACCTTATAGTCTTAATATAATATTAAAAAACTAATACATTGTAATTGTGTACATTTAAACACTAAATGTATGTAATATATTAGTATTAATAATTTAAATATGACAAAAGCTTAAGTAATACATAAGTCTTTAATATATAAATATAAATATAATATACAACATATACATACATAAATAAAAATACTATGTTTAGTCAATATAAATATAAATGATATATAATTATATATAAATATATATATACATATATATAAATATATATATACATATATGAATATAATACTCTTAATTCAACACCAAACAGCAACTAGGGTAGTTAAAAAGTTTCTTTTTAAAACTGGGTTTATATTATAAATACCTTATACATAAAGGTTGAATGATGGGAAGGAGTAAAGAGAAGGAGGTTATGAGCTGAGCGAAGGTTACGGCGATGGGACGTTGATGAACCGAAATCTATCTTTCAGATATAAGAAGAAAGGTCGAAAATAATAGAGAAGAGTGTGTAGGATACGCAGGTCTCTGCGGTTAAAACAACCATTTAATTGTGACAAATTTAGATATTGAACCGGATACAGTCTATGATCTTGGGAGAGGTTAGTAAGACACACGTCAGCATAATCAAAATGTATGGATTGGACGAGGAGCAATTTAGTATTTTAAACCGATATAGAACTTTTATCATTAAGAAGACACGCTGGGACAGAAAGGGATGAATTATGTATCTATGATGAATATATTAGTATTAATAATTTAGTATGAATACATAACATTTTATATATATACAGGTGTTTTACAACAAAAAAATTGTGTTACTAAATAATATAGTCAAACGAAAAGTTGTAAGGCTTGGCGCGTAATATCTATATTTAGAAAAGTTGAACAAAAGAATTTAATGAATTATTTTATTCCTAAAAAAAATTCGAAACCATATCCATAACAGGAAGAAAAATTAAAACTATCAAAGATATAACAATTAATAATCATAAAAAACAAAATAGTCGAATTATGAACTTCTATTTTGAAATTACTTGAAAACTCGGGCACGTTGTTTTTTTTCGGCTATGCCAAATTCAAACTAATGATTTTCTATCATTTTCATCGGTTTGTTTTTATAGTTGGTCCCGCCTTTCAGTTCATGTAAATTGACCTAGATATATCGATTAAATAGTTTATATCTTGATAAAAAGTGTCCAATGCAAATCACAGGTTACGATTTTCAGCTCTCTTCTGTCAGGCCATTTTTTTTGTATATATCGCTACATACGTATAAATAAACTACTTGAAAATGACATTGCAGATAGTATTTACTTTGATAATTATTACGTACCTAATATCGTTATAATTTTGATGTATACACGTATACTAACTACAGATATGCCTTTACATTGTACTGTTACTTAGTATAAATAATGACTGCTTGGAACGAGTCAACAAACTTCTCCAAAGAGCAAATGCCTATGGTGTTTGAATTGTTCGTTTCACATACACATGTTTAACTTGTCATCGAAAAATATCAATAGACTTGGTGGCCCCAACTGCTTGAGTTATGCAATCATTTTATTTGTAGTCATAAAGAATCTGACTAGATTGCACTAGTTTCTATGAATATTCATTAGTAACGGTACTTATTCTGATACTATTTTGAGTTACATATATATATTTATTAAGGCGTTACTTATTAAATGTTGGTACTAAACTTCTTTTGAGATCGCTAACATACAGTTGCATGCAATGAATACATATTTGTGTTTCTTACTTAAAAAAGAGTCAGTTAGTTAATAATAAAAATTAAAAAATATATACGACATATAAACACACTTGTAACAATATTTTATTCCATTTTCTAAATCTTAGTCTTTATACATTTAGAAACATTAAATTCATGTCAAATAATAAGAAGTGTAACATTCTCCCACAGAGTTATTTTCGAGCAGTTAGAGAAAGAGACGGAGAATTTAACTTTTATAACTATATTGGGATAAAAATAGAGATATTTGCATTGAGTAAATAAAAACTTATTAGTCCGTTATAAAATCGATGGTTTATATTGTATATATTTTAAATTCTATAATAATAGTGCAAAGCTACTTTTAGATCTCCCAGACAGACACTTTCTTTTAATTTTTCCAAATCAGCTGTTCATTATTATAAAAAAATGCGAACTTGAATAGTATATAAAATTGTTGCATTTGCTTCATATTTATTTAAATAAATTCCGCTAGTTTTGGTACTACTATTTACTCGTCACAGCAAGGGAATGCTGGATAAACAATTTGGCGAAAAATTTGCACCCCTAAAAAGCCACCGCAGTTCAATTTGTTAGGATACGTACTCGTGAACAACGGATTACAGGAGATTACGCTATTGATCGGGGATCCTGCTTTTGTAATTCAAAAAGGTACGAAATATCCTATTTAAATTTGTTGGCATGGTGTTAATATTTATAAACTGAATATTAAACTCTTAATGTGTGTTCATGACAAAATAATAAATGAGTAGGTACTTAATGTGCTATTATCGATTATATAATTAATGATACTTCTGTAATATATTTAAACAGTAAAAATAATTTTATTTATGTCCACTACTACTACAGAAATATTAAATTAATTAAGTTAAAACGTAAATGGAATGGCAAATATGCTGACTGCCAACCTGATTGTGTGGTATAGTACACACATATTGTCACGAATATATGTGTATACGGATATATTATATCTCATCCTACAACCGAGACACAGCTTACAAAGCAAGATGTTTGATGGCTGAAATAGTTTATATAGGGGTATTCAGACGTTTTTGTACAAGTCCATCATTGATTTAAAACTTGTTTAAAAAGTTATAAGGCTAGGTACAAGTTATTGGCTTTTGCAATAGCATATACGGTGGTCACTCTATTCTCCCAAATTTGTATTTAAAAATCAATATGTATTATTGTAAACATGTACAACAATTTCAAAAGAATAAGAGCTGTTAAGAAAACGAATTAAGAATACGAGTTTCTTGTCAGTTCTTTTCATCTCGAAATCATTCCAAACTACGGTAGATTTAACATAACATAAGAGTCTGTAACAGACCTACAGAATAAAGAGATTTTGAATTCTGTATTTTTTTATATTGTTCCTATACCCTTTAAATATTCTATATTAATCTACCTCAGTGTCAGTAATATAATTAAATTACGCTTTCAAAACACATTTAATGTAAAGTGGAATCGTAATATTAGGTAAAATTGTAATATTGAAATTTTTATGCTACGTTTAATATTTATTTGCTTTACATTCGCACGCTTATCAAAGTAAATAGAGCGTGTATTTAGCGACTAATCGCAAAGAGTACGGATGGATGCATGCTTCATTGACTTCGCAATGCGATGCAGTATGATGTGAATGACCTACATATTTTATAATATGTTACCGCAATGGAAATATGTTCATGCTAACGAGATGTAATAAAACGATTTCGTGTCGCAATGTAAATTTTGGTATGTTTTGTGACATTTGTTTATACATTCTAATATTATAAATGTAAAGTGTTGGTTTGTTACCTTTTTAATTTAACTGCTGAACTAATATTAATGAAATTTTTCATCATTATTTATATTATAATATTTTCATAAATATTTCGAAACAAAGAACTGGTTTATGTGAAATATAAGATGACGATAAAATGTTCAGATGAAGTCCCAAGTTGCGGCTGGTATTATAAAAAAGCGATCAGATCATTATCTATAAATAATCGTTGATTTATTTTAATTTATAGTTTATACGCCTCAAACTTTACTTGTTTGTTGAACCTTAAATTTGGTGTATGTACCAGCATACACGAGTGTTAAGCAACGTTGCTATAGTAAATTTTCACCTGGTGCTGTGAGCCATTGCATTTAATGTGTCAGCACTTTGGATTGTATTGGATGCAGATAGCTTACCAGAAAATATTTGTGGCGGGTTATTTAGCCGTAATATATGGATAGCCATAGTGATAATAATAATACCTTAGAACAATCCACACAGTGCCATTTAGTCCCAAGCTAAGCTTGTGTTATGGGTACTAGACAACTGATATAAATACTTCAATGTATTTATTTTTTGTAAATATATACATAGTAAACACCAACACCAATACAAATAATCACACTCAGAAACTATTGTACAGGGCGAGGTATCGAACCTAATATATATATATAATCGTTAAAATATGTCAATTTAAATAATTAATATAAAGTATTATCCGCTGAAGGAAACACGAATATTAAATCACTCCTCTCTTCATCCGCCACTTTGGGTTCAAAATATATAAAGCGAAATGTGTTCACGTTGTAATGGAAAATGGAGTTCATCACAATATCGACAGTTAATAATGCCTCTGCCTACCCCATCTGGGATAACAGTTGTTACTTTATGTTGTATAAAATATTGAAGTATTTAAGCATCATATTTATATGCACAATCACATATATCCAAGGATTGCTTTTGAAATACCAAGTTTCCTATTTCCTAAGTAAATAATAGTTGCAGCGAGTACAAATTCTCGTCTTTGACGCGTGATACAGTTACCAAGCTTTAATTTACTAAACGAGTGGTTCTTGTGGAATAAACTGAAAACTGAAGTACGCCTTTATTATTGCGGTAGCAGGGTTGTCAACCTTAAAACATTTCACCTCGTACTACGATATAAAAAATCTGATAAAATCTCGTATATTAGCTAAACTTGTCTCTAACAAATTACGAAAATCGGTTAAAATACCATAATGTACGTGAATTATAGTATTTTAACAGATTTTATAGGTCCTAATTTCGTACACACTTGTGGGAGGGTGGAAATATCCTCGTATGTTTATATTATAGAAGGATACAAGGATCCCTTT